CCATGTTATCATCTTTCACTATATAGTCATGTTACAACACGACAGCATATGAAGTTCTTAGCCAGATTTTCTTCAGTATACTCCTTGAATTCAGTCAATTCATTTTGTGATAAACTATAGATTGGTCCAAATGGTGGTTGTGCTTCTTCTTGAAGGTTAATCGAGCAGTCATAGGAACGATGTTCCGAAAGAGTATCTACATTTTTCTTCTCAAATACATCTTAAAAATCTTGATATTGGCTTTGAATGCGACTTGAAGTCTTTTCATGAGTAGAAACAAATGTGGCATAAATGACACAAGGTGATCTTTCTTTTGTAGCATGCAAGAAAGCTCTTACACCTATAAATACAAGTTTAATTGTACTAGACTTATGAATTTTTACTTGATTAACTATGCTCTTAGTTATACTTTCAGAAAATTCAAGACTACAAGAAGTCTAATCTATTTTAGAATTATATTTTTTTAGCCTAGATAAATCTAAAATGACTAGATTAGAAGGAGATCTAATGATATTAAATATTACAAAGCTACTGTGACCATTAGTTGCTACTTCTACAGGAAGGATTTTATGAGTAACATCTCCTAAAGACAACAAACGACCATCTATGACTTCTACATGAACATATTTAGTTTTCTTCATTAAAAGTATGCTATGACTTTTAGCAAATTTTTCATCTAAGAAACATGCTGAGGCTCCTGAATCTAACACAGTAGAGGCTTTGTGATGTTTAGGTCCTAAAATAACATTTATCATAAAATAAGGAGAGGGTTCTAAGGAGAGAATAGGATCTTCACTAGATGTTGTATAAGGTTCCAACCGCATGGTCCCTGTTGTAGTTGGACAAACTTATTTTTTGACATACTATCTTCTTTAATATCCATACTCCTCATTTTATGATTGCGTTGCTTCTTTGGACAATGTTGAGTTGTGTGCTTAGGTTCTCTATAATTTAAGCACAATCTATTTTGATGACGATAAGTCTTTTTTGCTCAGTAAGAGATTTGAAACATACTGCATCAATTTGCATATCATCTTCTTCCAATTGTATGTGTTGAAGAGATATTGGTATTTCAATTGAATTATAGTAACGTTGAGGTCCACTTATATGGTTCTTAGATCAAAATTCAAAAAGACAATTGTCGCACTTCATAGCAAAGTCAATTGCTTGACTCAATGTTTGAGGATCGAGTAAGTTGAGCATTAAATTTTTTACTTCATATTATAATCTGTAGAGAAATTTGCTCATAAGTGCAGCATCATCCTACTTGATATTAGTTACAACTTGTCAAAATTGTGAAGCGTACAACGTTACTAATCAATTTTCTTATTGTAAAATATGGATCTTGTTGCTTGCAACACGAATTCTATCATATTTTCTATAGATAGATCAAAACTCTATCAAAAAAGCCTCCAAATTATCTAATATTGAATCTCGTTGTTTAAGAAAAGATGAAAACCATGATAATGATGAACTTGAAAGAAGTGTATTAATGAATTTAACTTGCGATTTTGGAATTGGATAGCTTTGGGGTTGAAGTTCAATCATAAATTTTACTTGATTGATAAATCCTATAAACTTTGATCTAATGCCATCAAACTTCTCGGATAGGACAATTCTTGATTCTCTAATATTGGAAGGGTGTTTGACAGGAGATGATTTAGTATAGATGTTGAAGCAGCTCCAATCATTTCTATATCATTACTTCCTGCCAATCTTGTTGCTTCTTGTGGTAGTAAATTGAGTTGATGCATTGCAAGCATTAACTCCCTCAATTGTTCTTACATTTATGCCATTGTATTCTTCATTTTAGTAAGTTTTACCACAATAATACTTTGAAAAGAAAAGATGTCTAATATCACTCAAGACAAATAAAAGAAAGGACTTGAGAACAAAGAAAATACTAAAAACAATATCAATTTAGAAGAGAGTAATCCTCAACTTCTAATACGCTTATGTCTTATCAAGAAAAAGGGGTAATCTACTCTTAATCAAGATTAGACAAAGCTCTAATATTGTAAGTGTACACTTATCAATTTGTCAAGGACAAGCACTTATTAAAATAAATAAACAAATGAGATTTTTTTCAAAGAAAGATGAAAAAATAGAAATAATTAAATATGTATATTAAGAAAGAAACTGGAATGGCTATTGCCAAAAGATGAGAAAACTAGAGATCCTTGAAACTAGACTATAAGCAAGAAAGGAGTTGACAAAAGTAAAAAAGGCTTCACTCTTGCCTCTATATATACTATCTACCTAAGAGTTATATGGCAACTTTTCTATGTGGGTGCCACATACTTAGCTTGTTCCATAAGCTACCAATATGTATAGCATGTGGTTAACTTGTTGACCAAGTTTCTAACCTAACAATCAAGTATAAACACATGTAAAGTCAAAGCAGCATCTATAAAGCATCTAAGAAGTTTTTTTAGAAGATATTATGAAATTAATTTATTTTTATCTACTTCTACCTATTCATATCACCTAGGTAACAATTACAATAAATATATATCCGTGATACATGGCCAACTTATTGACCACGTTTCTAATCTAAAAAGTCAATTAAATACACCTATAAAGTAAAAGAAGTATCTATGAAGCTTTAAGAAGCTTTTATAGAAGATATTATGGAATTTACATAGTTTTATTTATTTTTATCTAATCATATAGGTAATTATTGGTTTACATGTATATGTCCCTGACAAATAATTGGTTGAATTATCAAATGTGATAAGAACTTAGTATCTACGATGTAGATGGTCAAATATTGATGATATCTTTATAGCTTGAAATCCAAAATCCTCGTTGCAAGATTAATTTATTTTTTTTATTTTTTATTTTTTACTTTTGAAATAATTATATTATTTGTAGACATATTCTCACTATATCGTATTAAATTGTAGCAAAGACATAAGAATATCAAAACCATTCGAATTTTAAGGCTATTTTGATGTATAACTTCAAAGTAGAATATTGTCCTTTTGTATGCAACATGGTCACACAACCAAGGTAGAGAGTACTATTTGTCCAAAATTTGACAAATTATTCTTTGTAAGAAATCTATATTCTTTGAAGATATACAACAACTTCATTAGTAGGAGCAAAAGCAAAGCTAGCATAGAACTTCATCTACATTATGTAAAAAACATCCTTCAAAAATGAATCATCACCTTAGTCCATTCAACAAGAAAGTTGGACCAACTATAATCTTCTTTGGATAGAAAATACATTCTATAGTTGGCCAATACGTTATTTTGAATGTACCATAAAATAAATCAAAAACTTAGATGTGAAAAAAAACATCTTCGATAACATTTATGAATGCCAAGTTCTTATTAACATTGATGCCAATGGGCTACAATGCTCGACATAGTAGAATAAGTTGCATCAACATCTAATATAAGAATGGTGTTTGTAAATCAATCTAGACATCTCTTCATGTCTTCAAATGTGTCAAATGATTCTTTTGGAAGAGGTTCCATATTGAGTGTGTTTTCCATTTTGGAATGGAACAATCCCAAAAAGACCATTGCCTCACTTTCTTGATAAAAGATAAAGTAGTAGAGAAGTGTAGAATCAAGATTTTAAAAGCATAACAAAGTGGAAGTACATTATATAAATTTAGAGAATCAATGAAGTAAGCAACATGAACATTATAAATACATCATACTCCATTATTATTGTTTATTGTGGCCATCAAATTTGAAATATTTTATTAATCATGTCTCTACAAATATACTATTTCCTCACATATTAACCATGATTAATCCAATCAATCTTTTAATGATGTTCATAGTGACACATTGCCTCTCAACTATCTATTTTCCCATTATGGATTCATATGTGTACTGATATAATCAAGCTATGATATATTGATGAGGGGTGGGTCAAATTAACTACTAATTGGATTGATTTAACATTCCCCTTAAATATGTAATATAAAAATATGATCTTCACATTGTTTTCAAGTAAATCATTCAAATTCTTTTGTGCACATATCGATTGGTTGGAGTCATCAACTACGCGCTCCAAAATTCCACCATTACAGTTGAACATGTTTGAGATGATTTTCCGTTCGACTTCCAGTTCAGCACTTTGAGTTTGAAGCCGCTGATTCTGTCATAGTCTTAAAAAAAAACGAGACAGGCCTCAATTAAAAAAAAAAAAAAAAAAAAAAAAAAAAAACATTATATGTATAAACATTATTGGATGATGAAGTTCATTCGGTTAAGGGTGCCGGTCTCCGCCACCGAATGTATAAGAAGCAGTGGAGTGGTAGCTTTCTTTCAATGAGTTGAGTCGAGTCGACTCGAATTGAGTCTGCAGCAGTTTGTGGAGTCTCGGCCTGCCTTGTAGGGCCATGGGGTTGAGTACACTGTGCGTTTGGAGTCTTGTGTTATTTCCTTGCGGAGGCGGTTGAGGTTCAGTGAATGCCTTCACTTCCCTTGCTGTCTGCAAATTCCTACAGCGGCACGGGTTCCGTATCGGGGTCCAGTGTGGCGGCGCTACTGAGCGTAGCGACTTTAGTGGGGACTTAGGGTTTAACCTGTTGTGTGAGCATCGGGCTGCTGTTCCTTGGTGTTTGGTTTAATGCTGCGTGTCCTGTCGTAATGGCGAGTGTGTACATGTTTCATCGAGTTCTTCAGCCGAGATTTTTTCTGAGAAGTCGATGATGTCAAAATATTGACAAGCATATAACTGAGTGGCTTTGCCACCTGCGGATTATCAGGATACTGAGATTTTTCACCCTGAAACCTGTAATGATTCAGTCGGTCTTATCCTGGAATGAACCCCTTCTTCGAGGGTATGGTGACTGAATCCGAGAGTTTGTTGTCTAAGTTTCTTAATCTGGTTAGGGTTTTATGGCTCTCGGTTTCCAGTCTATGATGATCAAAAATATTATGGTTTACTGAATCAATGTGATGAATTTCAATTTAGACTAGGACGATCTGAGACTGTGGAATGACTGTCCTCATGTGTCCAATACTGAACAGTGATGACGGCGGGTGATGCGTATGCATAGTTCAAATGAGCCTCACTGGGGCTTTGATTAATTACAGAAATTAGTCTTTCGCTCCTATCTGACGCCTAAATCACTCCCAGTGCGTTGTGCCTCTCTTAATCCCAGTCTTACCTGTATGGTTTGCCTGATTCATGGGGGGCGAATACGAAACCTGGAAGTTTCGCTGACAACATCCCTATTACTGGATGAAATCTGATAGTAGCTTCTCAGACATTCGGTTTGTCATAATCACTTGTGCCCCAAAGATATATGCAACTAATCACAATTGAATCAATCTTGGTAGACATTACCTGCCTTACATGGTAGTTGGAGGTTAGGACATCATCATTGACGTTTTTACTGATATGTAATGCATCAACAAATTCCTCCGCACAATTTTATAGTCATTTATTTTCTTTCAAATTTTTTTTATCCTCCCCAGTTATGTCTACAGGTCACAGTCAATTTACCACTGATATTTTGCAGTTTCGTTTGCTAACATTTGAACACGTTGTAACCACCCACGTAGGCAAATATGTCCTTGGCTCAGTTCAGAGAATTGGACTGGAAAGTCCACACTCAAATTCTAAATATGACTATATACACGGCAAAATCCAATGGCAATTGAAAACGAAAGAGTTGCCAACTTGTTTTGTTTGCTGGTTGCAAACTTAATGTGCATGGTGAATGTTTCGAACACCAACAGCTACACATTGACGCGAAGGATTCCCATCACTTTTCAAGACACTCACCGCTTGCATCACGAAGTAGCAACTTGCACAACAGACCAAATTATGTTCACGACAATTCCTCATGCAAAAGGATTCAGCTTCATCCAGCCACATTCCAAAACTCACTCTAGAACTCTGCTTATTCTTGTCCATGGAACATATTATATGTTGTATCAAAGAACCAGGAACAACTCCATTAAACATGTCAAAAAACAGAGACAAGCACATGAAATAGGATAGCTTCTTGCAATGACGACAGAATCCAGATGCGAGATAAGTAAAGAGTTTACACTCCGGCAGACGCATGGCAGCTTCTGTAGCAATATTAGGTTGTCAACAGTGCATTAAAACTGCAGCACTCCTAAACAGGATAAAAGATCGTCACAAAGATCTACCAAGACCTCCAGGGTCATACAGACCGTAGCTGCACGAGATCCATCTCGGCAATGTATTTACAACTTCGCACTACAACACGGGATAGATCAGAATCTAATATCCTGCCCGAAGGTTTCATTCAGTAAATCCTGAAGTCGCAAGTAACAAGTCACAAGTCGCAAGATTGAACTTTAAACCAGCAATAGAAGAAAGTAATGGAGCAATTAGTCACCAAACTAAGACTCTCATGTTATCAAGTCTGTATGTTGACGCCTAAAGCATACCAAAATGTGGAAAGTGGTATTCGAAAATAAGAAAATACTTATAGTTTGTTGCTCTCATGAACCAAGACAGCAGTTCATTCTCTTCCTGCTCCTACAAACAAGGGTTACTAGCATAGCTCTCTGTACTGCAGCTCAGAAATCTGGTGTGGACAGGATAAAATCTTGCAAGAGACGCATTTCATTGGCAAAGGGGCTCATTGCCCACTATCATAAAGCTCTATCTCACACTGCCTGCATCATCTCGTTGTGCCAAAGGAAGCTCCACTTCAACTAAAAAGTAGCTCTTACCTGTTTCTCTAATATATTGAACATTACCATTCATTAGCTTTACAAGTTTACGACACATACTCAGCCCCAGGCCTTCTTGAGTCATGCCTCGTCCTCGATCAAACATCTCATGCACAAGCTCCTCAGGAAGTCCCATTCCTGAATGTGTAACCCTGGCAAGCAAACAACAGAGCACGCGTATTCAAAAACTGTGTGACGTCGATACTTAAGGGCTAACAGCACCACATTCAGCAAAAGAGAGTGTACCACACTTTTAGCTTAGAGAACTGTATCTTTGGTCTTACAACACTTCAAGAAGCAATAAGTTGAGAAAAAATTATAAAAAAATTACAGACCTGAATTCCAGATGCATGACATGAATGCCTCCACCCAGGCGCTTCTTCGTTGGGACCACCTTGATCCCGACCCAGCCTTCAGAGGATGGGGTGAATCTCACTGCATTCAACAAAAAGTCCGCGAGCACTTGTTGTAAACGGACTTGGTCCCCAAATAAACACATGTTCTTTATCTCCCTGGGAGTCTCCCGTATCAATTGCAGACCTTTTTCTCTTGATGTGATCATTCCTTGACTTACAACGGCATCCATCACTGTTCCCATCACAAATTCATTTGTATCCAGCTCTAAGTACCTGCTCGAGGCAGAACAAAACATAATATCAGCCCAGGCAACTGAAAATCCATCTTGTTTGTAACAATAACTCTATCAAACCAAAACAGTCAATAATATGTTGACTAAACAAACCCCACGATACACAGATACACAGATCATGCACATAGATTAGAATTACACCACAAAGGCCAAGTCCCGTTTCATTTTAGTTTTAAAATTTTAAAAAAACGCTACTTGTTCATAATTTTCTACCAGAACAAGAATAATTGGAGAAGGATTTGGAAATCTACCCGTCCTCAATACTCTCAAGATCCATATCATCCAATACTTTGCGCAATTGACGTTCACACACAGCACTAGTCTCCACAAACTGCCTTTGGTCCTCAGATAAGTCCGTATCTTCCATTAAATTACGTGTAAACATAATCCCATACAAAGGATTCTTGATCTCCTGTCGAATGTAAGCCAACTCCTTGAGTTTTGCGAAGGCTACTTTCTCCGTCGCACGTTGGACAGTCAATGCCTACATACAAAAATTCATGAGTCATTTTCATGCAGAAACCACATTAACATAGAAAGTCAAAAACCTGATTCCAAAGGATATTTCATTCGTACCATAACATTGCGCTATAATTTGTAGCATAACAGATTTGTGTACTGTGAGAGGAACAACCCAAGGCCATCGGTTTACGAAAATATATTGACAAGGCTTAGAGTCACAAGTCAAACATCTAGACGAGATGTGAATACCCTTGTATTGTGCTTCACAGCAAGAAAATATTGTAGACTGTCGCATAAAATCTAAAATAATAGCAGCTCCCACGAAAAATTGGATACAAGGGAATCAATTTGACATTGTTCGCAAGTGTTCGACATCGACACCCCTTTCGGAAATGACGACGATGAAGCTGCATCTTAACGAAGGACCGAGGTCTTACTTGCAATAATTCCACACTGGTTGTGTGCAAAAAGCAGAATACGCCAGTGATGCTTCCCTCTGCATCCGTTCTTTTATTGACTGTGAGTAGGGCATCTACGTATTTCCCTTGTCGATCAAAGAAGGAAAAGGGAAACCGATCTGTATCTTGACCATCCATTGCACTATTTAATGCAATCATAAATTTCGTCATTGCATCTTGACCTTTCAGTCGGCAACACATAAGTTGCATTCCAAAAATTTCACCCACTAGCAGTTTCCCAAGCACCTGCATTGCAATGTAGGCAAATGAATCAAAATCCTGCCTGCGGTTTCAAAATTATTGAAATCAAGCTATAGGACTTAATGGCCACTGAGGAGCAAATGGTTCCCAGAAACCGAAGTGTTAAAAATAACACACAAGTCATTACAAAGACCGCTGTTTCCAGAACTTGCGATAGCAAACAAGCAAGAAAAATCGCTCGGATAAAACAGAGGTATCTGTTGCTAAGTGCCTTGGTTACATGGTAAGTTCAGGAAATTTGGTAAAAAAGAAGGTGATGGCACAAAGTTGAGCTATCACAGAGTACCGAAAATAGAAGAGCAAAGATGATCTGATTTAATCCATGATTAAGCAAAAACTGGCTTACCTCTTCTCTCTTCCATCCAGTCAGCTTCTCCATTGAAGGATTCCACTCAGAGCAATATCCATATTCATCAGTGCCAAATATAGGAGGAATCAAAGGGTTTGGGTTCTGAACTATTGCTTTGTAGTCGCCTTGTATCCGAGTAAATTTATCCAAAACTTGTTTTTGACCTGTCACATCTTGCCCCACAAAACAAACTCCAACGACATTGTCTTGTACATCCCTGCTGGAGCACGCATTCACTATCAAAATCACTGCGCCCTTCTCTTTTTGTGGCCCAAAGGTCTTCAACTGAATCTCAATATTTTGTTCTTCTTCACCTGCAGATGACGCGCAAACGAAAAAATCAATATGTATATATCGAATGTCAGAGAGATAAGCAAATTGGTGCTGCTACCCACAAAATCAAAATAACTTGGTCTACAAAAAGAATGTCGTTCACAACCATCGTGTGTGAGAGGAGAACTAAATACACGAATGACATGAAGCTTTGCATTTTCCTCCCATCATCCTTTTCATCAGGATGATGGGAGGAAAATCCATCCCCGCAATGACATGAAGCTTTGCCCCTAGTTCAAATAACAGATGATCTAACTAGCAAATTTTGCAGACCAGCTACAATTCGCTATTAGGTTTGTACAAAGTAATGTGGCTAGAGACACAGGGAACTTCCACAAAAGTATGCACACAACTGGTGCTTCACATACTAGTTCAAAGCCTGAATTTGTGTGACGACTTAGAATAGGAAAAAAGAGAACCCAGGTGTACTGAGATCGTTGTCTAAGGAAGCGTAAGAAATCAACTATCACAAGTGCGAGCCTACGATTTAACTGACGGATATCTATAAGTTGGTTATTACCTTGTAATGCAAGGTAGAGAAGTCGCTGAACAACATCAATTGATTCCTCTAAAATTAAATCTTTAACCAGCGACCGACCCATGGCTTCTCCAACTGGAAGTCCAGTCAGTTCAGCTACTTTGGCATTCCAACCATTGATGAATCCACTCGAATCGACAGCGAGAATTGGTGCAGTCGCTGTCTCTATCAATCTAACCATTTCATTAGCAACTGTACTGAGTTCATCCATGCCCTGGAGCTTTAAGTCGTTGAGTCGGGCGTGTATCATAGTTTTGGTATCACTGTCGTCTATATCCTGGAATGAACCTCTCAAAATGAGTTGAAGAGAATGAATTGCGTCCATTTCTATGTCCTCCCATGGCAAACTTCTTCTCTTCACAACTTCTAGAAAGGCCTTGAACGAGGAGCGGGGATGCATTTTCCTCCCATCATCCTTTTCATCAGGATCGTGCTTGGCACCACCCCACTTAATCTCCTTGGCGGTGTGTGACCTAAACAGATGCCATACAGACACCGAACAAGTTTCAGAGGAGAAGAGAGACCTCGTCGATTTCGATCAAAACAAGAGGCTCAATACTGTTTAATCCGGATAAACAACGCTGTTTAACTAAAGAACGTGTCCAGAGGAGCTCTTGTGGCCCGCCCCACGACCTGAACATTAATAAAAATGGATTGAATATTAAGTCGATAAATTAAGATACCTTGCCCTGGTGTAATTTGCACATGAAACTATCTTAATTTACGTCGTCCTACTTGAATAGAGAAAATTAACTGGGAGAATCATAAAAAATATATTTTTAAAAAATATGCTTGGTAATACAGACTGGTGCATAGTCTGCACATGAATAAGTACCTGAACCAGAAAAGAAAGTCCCTTGGAGTGATCTTTGCCGCAGCCATTCCACACACAGCATCACCAAGTTGCGCTGCGCCAGGGTAACCAGCATCGGCCAGGCTGTCTGTACTCAAACCGGTCGAATCTTGATGATGTTCTAGGAGCCAGTCCGCGATTTCCTTAATCTGGACCTCGTTAGGTGTGATTCCCAAAAGCCAAAACCTTTTCCCATAGTAAAGTGCTGCACCGTCGCATTTAACCAAGTCCATGATATTGGGTGACTGAGAAACAATTCCGATGGGTGCATCCCGCAATAACATGTCACAGAGAAGGGTTTGTGTTCTCAAAATATGTTTTTCTCTTAGCTGAGCTGCAAGTTCAACTTCCATGTTCAGCTGCAGACCGAACACCTGCATCAGGAACTCACAGGCCGATCTCAAAGGAAAGGAGACGGTCCTCGGAGACGTGTGGTGACAAACCACCAATCCCCAGAGCTTGCGCCCTCTCTGCTGGCCCCCACGTGAATTAGGATCCTCATCCGGATCATTCACGATAACTGCCATCACCAACGAAGCGATGGAGTTCATGTTGCCCATGTATTGCGCATGGCAGCCATGAGGGGCCCGTAAAGTAGACCCGGCCAGACTAATAGGCTGCCTCAAATCCTTGTCCTGAACCACTTTAACAGGAGGAGCATAGCAATCACCTATCATTCGCACCCTGTTCTTCATAAACAGGAATCTTGACGCCTGTGGGATATCTGTTGCTGGGTAATGTAGACCTAAGTAAGGTTCTAAATCTGATCTTCGAATCTCCGCCAAGACCTCACCATGTTCGTCTTCGTGGAATTTGTATGCCATGACACGATCGTAACCGGAAAGCTGGCGTACCTCTTCTACAACTGTATCACAAAGGAGGCCAATGTCTCCGCCAGGAAGTGCCTGCAGCCGAGATATCGCTTTTGCAGCCAACTTATGCGACTGCAAAGCCCCTGCGGAGGACACAACGGCATCATTCGGGCGCACTGGTTCAAAATCAATTACCAGTCCTACGTCAATACGGTGCAGAATCGCATAGAACGGCTTCCCCGAGCTTCGACAGTGCACTGAGATAGGGTTCAGCATGGTCACATCCACCGCTCCGGCACATTTCTCCAGGGCGGCCGCACTGGAAGGGGTGAACAAAGTTCTTGCATCGGTTCCAATGCCCAGAACTTCCTGCTGACCCACACTGGGCACCGCTTGTGGCATCAGGTCAAGCATCTCTGGCGCATTCTCGCTGTAAGCAATAACCCTAAAACTACTCTCGTCCACACATAGCATACACCCGAATGTCTGCACCAAACCCCCTCTTTGCATGCGCTGAAGGTACGCGGTGACTGCTAGGGCAGGGACATTCTCGCCAGTGGATTTGGACGCATGAACTGATTTGGAATAATCAAATGAGTCTCCCGAATCTCCGGATTCTTCATACACTGCCTGCAGCTTGGCATCTGCTGTAGTTTGCGCAACCCGTACACTATGCTTCGACTTCACAGAACTCCCTGACGAGTATGCCAACTTGGTGGTCGACATCTTGCATACTACTAACACTACTAATTCTACTCGCCCTCCGCCTCCTGCTCCTTCTCCTCAACTAATCTCAATCAATTTTTTAGTTACACTCCTCGAAACTCCAGTTGCCAATACGTATGGCCCCGCACCTGGGAATATCCGTTATGTAGTCGAGCAATCTAACACCCCCTCAAAATGAATCACGCTTTACAATTTGTCGACAAGAGAAGAGATTCAGGTAAGCTTGTGTGCTCGTCGAAGACTAAGCTAAATCCCAACCCCTCACTACCTCGCTCACTCCCCAGGACTCTGGACTTGTACAACCTCCAATGCACCAGTCTGGTGACCACTCTACAGTCGCAGCCTGAGGCTTTTCCGGCATCTTCTCGACAGTAGCTTTACCACTCTCGCACTCCCATTTCCTCACCCAGATGCCCTGCAACCCACAAAACCTGAACACCCTACTGGGTTAGGCCAGCACCGACCACTCTGTGATTGCCGAAGAACACCACCACAACGACAACAGCGCAGCAATCATAGCTCTGAGTCCTCCTCCTGCGCCCCCTGGTTGTCCTGATACCGATGGCTATGTCATGACTAGGAGCATCACAGTGGCAGCTTCGCTACGTGCTTGAACGGCGCTGGATTCCTCTACAATCATCTTCCTCGTACCAGAAAGACAGATCAAGGCAGAGAAAAAAAACCGAGGGGGTGGGGGAGAGAGAAAAAGCGAGAGAGGGCAGGATGGAATGAGTAACGATAAGATATAGGAGCAGATGAAGAAGAAGAAGAAGGGGAAGAAGTGTAGTTTGAATGTCCGGTTGGCGACAGAGGGGAGTGGGAAGGGAGGGGTGGTGGAGGAGGATGTAGCGAGAGAGAGAGAGAGTGTGTGTGTGAGGGCAAGGGCAACGCAACGGTGGTAGCCGAAAGCCAAAGGTATTGCAATTCAATGATGCAAGAAGAAGACGAGGAAGTACTCCGGGGAAGGAAAGGGAATCGTTGCAGATACAAAAGTGGGGCTGGAGTGAGACGACGAAGAGAGAGGAGAGGGTGGGGGGAGATGAAAAGGGAAGGACACAGAAAGTGAGGAAGATGTACTACCCTGCCCACAAGACAAAAAAAAAAAAAAAAAAAAAAAAAAAACACACACACACACACAACAACAACAACAACTCTTATAAGTTTAACTTACTATGAGGCGCTTGGGGGAGGGGTGAGTGTGAGGCTTGTTGTTGGTAGGGTGGCTCGTCCTGTTGTGCAACAGCAGCGGCATGGGGGACGGGACACAGGGTTGGCCTTAACCAGGAGTGGGGTATGTGTGTGCATATGTGTCTGGCCTGTCTGCTGTGCTCTCATCCCATCCATCATCTTCCACCCCTGCAGTCCTACTAGACTGCGCTGGGCCAGGCAGGGCTGGCCACTAGGCCACCCCACGCCAGGCCAAGCAAAGCAAAGCAAAGCATCGGAGCTAGGGGACTGAATCGTCTTGTGCGACAGCCAATCAGAAAGCAGGGACAATATATCTGGGCTATGAGGGCAATGCTAGGCTGGGCAGAGCGAGGCACTTTGTGGCCCCACACTGAACCGCGACGGGAGGGGACGAGATGTGCGGGGACATGACAAAGTTGGGGAGAGAGTGGGCAGCGGATTAATACTACTACCACCACTACTGCCCAGTTGTGCAGCAGCAGCATCATCGTGCGTGCGTGCGTGCGTCCCTGCATCCTCTCTACCCCCCACCCCTTCCCTTGTGTGTGTGTGTGTGTGTTTGTGTGCTTGTGCTGTTGTGTTGTGCCACTGCTGTTGTTCCTGGACCTGGTTCTGTGTCTTACTGTCTCCCCCCCCCTGTGTTGAAGTAACTCTGTCTGACTGACTGACTTTCCCTTTTCTTGTCGCTTTCATTTTGTTGTGAGCATTGACTGCTGCAGGCCAGTCCAGTCCAGTTAGTTAGACTCTTCACGGATTTTGATGGTCACTCCTCTCAGCCATAGCCAGGCAGATAGACAAACAGACACACATACACCAGTGGAGATGAACACATTAGACTGATTCGTATGTTTCAAGATATATATATATATAGATATATATTTATATCTTGAATACATGTGAAATTCTCCTAACTTAAAAAATTATCTATATTTGCTGTCACGTAATTCTTCTCATGAGATTATTGTCAATGAAGTTGAAATTAAAACATGAGATACAAAATTGCTAGAAACTTGTTGTGATTGTATGTTTTGTTGATAAACAGTATGTTGAATCTTTTGTGGAACAATTGATTGGTTACGCAAAACATAAAATAAGAATAAATCTCAAATCAGTCAACAATCTTAGCAAAGGCTTTGTGTTGTTACAAGTCATTTAAAAATTATCACCAAACTATTCTTTTACATATTTTATACAAATCACTTAAAAACTATATATATTCCAATATTAGACATCATGTTTTATTTCTCTAGAACAATATGATAAAATACTGTGTAGTTAATCTTAAACACATTTTTTTGTTTTTTATACTTAAAAATATTTATAGAATTTTTCTTCAAATAGCCTCCAAGACATTCAGCGTCCTTAGTAATAATAACATATTGTACTTTCTCATTGATACATCTATGATTACAAAATTATTTACACTAAGATCTATAGCAAACTATACAGAGTTATAAAAGAAAAATTTTCAACCTTCAATAGTAAAAGACCACGTTACTTTCATTTACAAAAATAAATAAAAATATATCCTATTGATCTATAGTCTCTCTAAATAAAAATTTGAAAAACTTATTAAAATACTGCAAAAATATGCTTTAAGAAGTGATGTTAATGTATTTTTAATATTTTTTCCTTTTTTTCATTTTTTTAGTTGCACATGGATGTCTAACAACTTAATAGGGACCATGCGGTTAAATTCTTGAACAACCTTATCTTGTAAATGCTTTGTATTGTTATTTAAACCCTCTTCATATATTGTAATATAAGGTTTTTTAGAACCTACAAGTTATGTGATACTTATTATTATTATTTTATTATTATTTCAAAATAATGAAAAAAATCTTTATGGACTAAAACTTGTTTAAGTACTATAATATATATATATATATATATATATATATATATTACAGAATTACAACTATGTACATTTTTCAAAATCCTATAAATAAATATTGAAAATTTAAGACACCCGTAATTGAGGTGGAGTAATCAAGCCCATAAGTTTAGGTAGAATCTCAAACAAAAGTTCATTCTTACTGTATTTAGATATAGATTTTTCTAATAAAATTTGAAGAAGCTAACTGATATTTGCAAGCCAACATATTTTAATCAAACATATACACATTATGTATATTAATAGACAAACGTGAAGTAGACAAAATAAGTATATATTAAAGAAATGTGGAACTCTACAAACACAGAGTGAAACTTCTTTCTGTAAAGGGTACATTTAGTAATGAGTGAATTATCCGTTTTATTAAATTTCCATGCACATTGTGGATGTGGCCGTTGTGGTTTATTAGGAGGGGACAAATGTGAGCCATGGGGAAGGACTGAAGGAAGGAAGGAAGGCTCTGACAGTAAGAGTGAGTGAGGATAGAATTCGATTGATACCCATATCCCGAAACCATGTATGTACAACACGGGATGTTTGATTGACACCCGTATACTTCCGGGTATGTCAATGCGGTGTGTGTGTGTGAGAGCACGAATTAGGGTTTTGCGGGGAGAGGGTTTCCTTTTTCACTGCTTCGTTGCACAGTTTCTACTTTTGCACTTCTCTGTTCTGCTCTGCTTTGGTGCCGGGGCCAGTTGTTTGTGTGCTCCTTGTCTTTCCTTTGTGTGCACGCTCACTCTCGACTCTCGACTTCATCATGGTGCTCTACCACTCTCCGCTCTCCTCACACCTTGTTACTTTCGTCTCTTCCTGTGGGGACCCCTCTTATCTCATCATTTTAGGGTTTTCTCAGCTGTTGGGGGGTTGTGCTTGGGTCCGTGCGTATGGATCGTGATCTGAGTTTGGTCTTTTACAGGCGGATCCTGAAGTTGAAGTTGCACAGCCCAAGAAGAGAACTTTCAAGAAGTTCACCTTCCGAGGAGTGGATCTGGATGCCTTGCTTGATATGGGCAATGATGAGCTGGTGGAGCTCTTCAACGCCCGTGCTCGCCGAAGGTGAGCTGGGCGCAGGCACCGAATTGAATGCCCTGCGATTTCGAGATGCACATTCTCATTTTCATTCGGCGTGGCTCGCTTGGAATTGCCTGATAGTTGCAACGTACGTATTGCGCGCCTGAGGAATTGTCCTGACCTTGCTTGGACAATACTACCCGTCTCACGTACTTGCAGGTTTCAGCGCGGTCTGAAGCGCAAGCCCATGGCCTTGATAAAGAAGTTGCGTAAAGCAGTAAGCTCCAAGTGCTTACTTCTTCATTATCTTTTTACGTTTTAAAGACAGCAGTTCCTTATCACACTGAATTTTTCTACCAATTAATTGTGCTTACATGCATCGTCATGGCCCGTTTTTGCAGAAGCGTGAAGCACTACCTGGTGAGAAACCTGAGCCTGTCAGAACACATCTTCGCAACATGATCATTGTGCCAGAAATGATCGCGAGCGTAATTGGTGTTTACAACGGCAAGACATTTAATCAGGTTGAGATTAAGGTAAGAGGCTTTAAGTCCCACATAATGTCTTGATGTTCGCGGTTAAGCCACGTTTGGTTCTATGCTGTGATGCATTTTTAAAAACTTATTCTTAATTTAGGATGTCAGTAGGTGTTTTTCCCATAGTTTTTCCTCGAGTTAACCTTCCTTTAGTCTTTGTGCGCACTCTTAAGACATTTCATTAGATCTGACGCATTTCTGCGTACGGTTATGAACAGCCTGAGATGATTGGTCACTACTTGGCCGAATTTTCCATATCATACAAGCCTGTGAAGCACGGACGGCCTGGTATTGGAGCTACCCATTCGTCACGGTTCATCCCACTCAAGTAGACGCGGTTGAAATTGTGGCTGTTATTGTTGCCTCGTGCGATAATGCCAACATTTTTGGAAGTTGCAACTGAAAGCATTTTCTGGATGTTTTTTTTTTTCTTGTTGAAGTAGGGTTGAACAACTAAATAGCTTATTTTTTCTGGATTTTAGTCTTACCCAATGCCCGCTTTACAGACGTTGTGCATATGAAATTTGATTGCATACTAGGGAGAGAATTACAGATGTAATTAGTAATGCACTCTTTGGAAATTCTTAGAGTTGGTTTACCGCGTTTGTTATAAAGATTAATGCAAAGGTGGAGTATGTCGTCGAAATATGTGCTCGATGGTTTGCGAACTCCATTTTCATTTGACAATATACTAGTTAAAGCTTCTCCAACTGATGTGATGCTAAAATATTTGAATGTAAGTTAAATGCCTGATGGTTTGATTTTTTTTTTCCGATTCTAACGGTGAGAACAAGTATTCTATCTTCACGTTCACGAACCTACAGGTCAGCGGGGCCCGGAGTATTGCCGTCCGTTCTTCTGAACTGGTAATGGTGTAAATCTTAGGAGCTCACAAGGGTCATCGTTATGCAGTACTCTACATTACTTCATTGTCTTACAACCAGCTTCATTATCCATTTGGTTTCTGTTCGAATGTGTGTATCTTAATCTATTACTATGCTCATGTAATTTAGATTTGTATCAAATGATTTGAAGTGGAGCGAACCTATTTCAAATGGTTTTCAAGTTTTATAAAACTCTCCACAACTGTTGAGAATGTGTGTCGCTGCATTCAAACAACAACCTTACTTTTATTTTCTTTACAAAACCCCCCAAACAAATGAAGACTCTAATTATTATTCTTAGTGGAATCAGACCATAGTTTAACTAGGTAAGGGAAATTGCTTTAACTTGTGCATGTTTACATAAATAGCATAAAAATACTGTTATCATTGCATGTGTCCAAATATATTATTGGAATGCATTAGTGTATATATTACACTGAATGTCTGTGAAGTAATTGTATCAATCATATTCATTGATCCTATTTTCATCCTGGCAGAGTATTGTATAATTGATACATGTTTAAAATCTTAGATTGTAAAGAATATGTTTCAATCTGTTTGCAAAGGTTTTACTAGGAATAATTCTTGTGAAGTATCAAAGTAATATAAAAAAGTATACTGTTGATTGGCTCTAAAACGGTAGAAGCAGCTTCCTGTTGCAATTTTTGTGCAAAGCTGTCATCTTTTAAATGTTTATTAATATCGAAGGATAAGTTGCAACCCTACCAATTACATATCCTTCTTAATTTAATCTCCTAACTTCCCTAAATTAAATCCTTAATCTAAATTTCTAAATTTAAATCCTAAACTCTCATAATCTTTAATCTCTTAATTTAAACCCTTAATTTTAAAATTTCCCAATCTTGAATCCTAACCATGTATGTAATGCGCATAATAATAATGAATTAAAAAAAATACTTGTTTCTTTTTATCCAAGTTGCTCTAGGTGATGGAAGTCCTAAAAAACATCTACCTAAAAACATCACTTCAACAAAATTGGAAGGAATGTCCTATGAACACCTACAGCAAGACGTGACTTTTTTCGTTCGTCGAGGGTTACCTGAAGAGCATGGCAAGGTCCATGTAGTTGAGGGATTACTTTGTTGTTGTTCGTATGTCTGGAAAGACTGACTTTGTTGATTCGAGCTCGAAGGTGAACTTAGGGTTGTTTTATTGTAGTTGGCGTGCAGATTTTGATCTCAGGGGGAGAGCATTGTATTTGAGAATGTTATTGCGAATCCAGACCTCGTTTCATTGCAGACAGTTTTGTAACGAACAGTTAGGTGTTACAAATTAACATCAGTTAACTTCCATGACAGCCATTCTGCAGATGTTCTAACTTTTGTTACGAGCAATAAGGTCGTGTTATTGTTTTTTGAAACAACGTGATTATAATTTTTGCCATGAGCCGCGAGACCCACTCGTTTCATTTGACTTTCTAAGTTGTGGACATCTGCAGTTGGCATGAGATGTCTTTGAAGAAGAATTGACAAGGACATAGTGTTTCACAAGCAATTGTCTGTACTTCCCATTCCTTCACTCAAGCAGTAAGTGAAATGGGAGGTTGAGCAAATGAACCGATCATGTGGTTCAAAATGCCAGTAGAATCCATCCCATGCTCCACCCCAACATCAAACCTGCTCCTGCAAGACTCAAACCTAAAGCAAAGGCAAAACTCAATGTACAACTCATTATCATCTCTGTACCACCTTCTCTAGTCATTACAAAACTCCCTGCTTTATCCTTCTCTGCAGGCCACAACAAAGGAAAAGGATCGCTCATTTGCCTTCTACCATCATCTCTTCCGTACAGGTTCCACCTGTAGTATGCAAACCGGTCCAGAACTGAAAATGGAGAAAAATCGCTTTGATGAAGCAGCACTGTTGCCTGTTGGTGCCGGTGTAAATACACTCTCAAACAAGCATTCTCAGCTTGAAGTGAACTCACCAATTGCCTGTGACAGTTTTGTTTTCAGTTAGTTGGTTATTTCCGCACTTGCGGCAATATTCACTCGTGCACAAGAAGACGGTGGAGGTTGGATAAAGACGGGTAGCACGTGAGTGAGGATGTGTTAAAAATGACACTCTAATCCGGAAGGAGGTGCAAGCCATGTGCTCTCTGGTGCAGTGGTAAAAACGAGTTGCTTCATGCAAGCTCAAACAGAGCCACGGCTATTGAACATCGAATTGAACTTCTGTAAAGAGTTCCATCAATAATTATTGAAGCTGATAGGGTGAAAAGACTGGCCTGTATGTTAGTGAAAGCGATGCCTCCCGAAAGAGCAGGTGGGCGACTTTCTGATACTCTTGAAAATTTTCTTCAGCTCGTTTCTCAGCCTCTCTTGCTCGACTTTGGGAATGACACAGCGCTTCACCCAGTGGACCTGAGCTCCTACCAAGGCTGCTGGTGCTCATCACTTTATCCCCACCCATCCAGCATGCATGTTTATTTTCGGCAAAACTGAAACATGTTTTTACAGGACCAGATGTTAGTCTTTCTGTCGAATGGTTTTTCGACATTTTAGAATTGGTCCCAATACAACTGGGATCTTTACCCATTGGTCATGAATGAATACACTACACTATTTTCGATCGGAGCCTATCAAAGCCAGTAAATAGTGTGAGAATGGTATTGAGGATTGCTTGTTACTAAGATCTGAACCCTCGATTCTTCAGCTGCAGCTTCAAATTTTTAACCATTAGCCATGATGGGAATGGAAAGAACTATGCATGGCTTCTTAAAGCACCTGGAGCTCTGGTAACCGCTATGAAAAGCTGAGGCTTGACCTCTGGTTGGAATAGTAAGGGGGAGTGTCATCCTTGCGGATTGAACTGCCGACGAGCTGGATTCAGTTTTCTCGACAACATCAGAAGAAGCTGCTGGGCCAAGATTTGCTAATGGGGTTGGTTCACGAACATGCAGAACAGAATCCACCACATTCCTATCAGATGTTTCCGTAGATTCTGATTTAGCACCCATCACTCTCAAGTCGAAACTCTCCAGAGGCCTCTTTAGAATAGATCGTGACAGAGGAGTTGGAAGGTCGCAATTCTCTAATGTCTCTTTCGTTTTCTGGGCAACTAAAGCAGCCAACGCCTCTTTATTGGCAGTCCTCCAGGACATGGTGCTCGTTATTGTTGAGGGCGAGGCATCGCCTGTAAAGCAGAGTGAGTTCGATCCATATGAACATTTGTCCATCGTCTGTTGGAGTTTCTCCATACTGTCCTCAATATAATGCTTACTCGTCAATCCCTCCAAGTCTTCTGTTGTGGGGCTCCGGCAGATTTCTACGGATTCTCGAAAAACTTTCATCATTTGCGACTCCTTGAGACTCTTACTTTTTCTTGTGGCTGCTCCGCCTGGAACATCTTTTTCCTCTACACGTGCATTTTTCCTAAGGAATTCATTCTTGGTCTCTGCTGCTCGAAACGAGGCAGATAGCCCAGATTTAGGTACGGAGCCCGCAATCAACTGCCACTCCAGTTCAAGCTCCGCTCCAGTGGCATATTCGGAAGTAATACCTATCACACCTGGACCAACACCACAAATACGAGGATTGGATTGTGTTCTAGAATCACAAAATACAAGTAATACACAATCCTACCCAATTTGTCGATAGCTAATGTTGTCAACCAATTGGTATCAGATTCGTCAAGTCCTCGACCGCGCGCGCTAGTTTTGACCAGTCCTAAGGTTGACACTACGTAGTGCCTATTTGCGCAATCCAGAGGACTCTTACTCGACCTAATGTATCGAATGTCCACATAGAAACCAAGTTTGAGTTGCTTGTTGGCACCGAGCCATGCCCTGCTCTGGTGTCACCTTATCGAGCATAACCACACTGTGGTCTTCAAATCTCCAGTTTCACCTATTCTTTAGCTGAAAATTTAAATAGAAGAGCGAAACTGACCCGAGTTCACGTTGAAAGTTCGTTCAGCCGCTAACGCTCGCAAACCTGGAGGTTTCAGACTGCATCGAGAACCAAGAAGTTCATCCACAGCCAGATTCTCAGGGCGTTGGTCACACAGCGCATTAGAACTCATTTGCCACGGAGTCTTTGTATCCATTGAACTCCAAGTATTGCTCCAGTAGTACGAAGGTGTCTGATCGAAACCCAAAATCACTTCGTAGTGACTTATCTCCGGTTGAGGTTTTGGTAAACTTGGGCAATGTGCAAGCTTTGGCGCACGAAATGTGCCATCCTGAACACGATTAGAGGCTGTACGCTGCCACATTGCGCGCACATCGGCTTTCGCCATGAGGTGATCGTTTTCTGCATCTCAAGCGTGGATCGAAGGTATTTATAATCAGTGCTTCAAATCGAATTTGCCACTGCAATCATATAACTGTTGATTCATTGCAATGCCAAGTCCCTCAGCAATATGATCTCACCAGGACGATTGTTGTGACAATCGGCGTGGTGAGTGAAACAGATCACAGAGTAGATGATAGTTCAAGTAACTTGAAGTACTGACGATAGTATATCAACATTGATAAATGTATTACAGAGGAAGGCGTTGTCATCTACAAAATTTCTCGCCAAATCACGATGCATTGGACGAGTTTAAGTGTTACTCAGCTGCCTCGAGTCACGAATGCGGCCACAAATGGTGAAGAAGACGTACACATCTATAATCATGCGAGCCAACTGTTTGGAGTCAGATATGCTAGACCTTCCTCAATTCCAATGAGTTCTATCGTTGATACGCATTTGCCCTAAATTCAGCTGCGTGCAGAAATACACAGCAGCCATGTATAAGAACATGCTTTCAGCCTTGAATGGATGACCAGTGACGGCCTTCATTGTTTCATCATGTTCTGTTCCTCTCCCACACGATGTCAACTTCAACTACAACATCTGCAGTAAGTTAAGAAACTCAAAGGTTGTAGCCGTCGCATGACAGTTGAATTAGATAAACTGCTTCTGCTTTGATGAACTTCACATGCAAGAAGTTGTGTAAGGCTTTTCCAAGATCTCTGAACACCCCTGGTAAGTTTGAGGAATTGACAATTAGCCACTCATATATCTGCATACCTTTTTCAACCTTTACATTAGGGTTGGGAAAAACGTACGATCTTTGGCATCCGCCAACACAGAAGAGTCCTCTGCATTCAAGTGCCGAGTTTCACGGTGCTAGGGCACATTGGACCATAGAACAATGAATGTGGAGCGGACTGGGAAAGACAATCGAGAAACTGCTAGCGACACGCTGCCTTGCACGAGGACTTCCAAGTTGCTACAATTCAACACCCACACCGCAGACACAGACTAAACCATGCTACAGATCTTCATTACAGAGAAAAGAGACGTTGTTGCCCTTTGCAGATGACGAATGCGACGTTTTAAGACAGGACACACAAGGAACTTCTCTTGTTTGCTGAGATCCCAAAACTTTCCTGAAAGCCTTCACTTAAAGCAACTACGAACACAGATAATACGAGTCCGGCGAGGACTGTAATAAGAGCTTCACCAAGAACTCGTGCAACTTCTCTTATTCCAAACACACATATCGCAGAATCGCGCATGTTTAAGCACACTGCGCAGGATCTCAAAACGTCCGAAAAAACATTTGCCAAAACTCTACAGCCGTAGCCAGATGTTGCTGGCACGGAAAACGCGAAGACAATTCGAGGCGCCGAAAAATAAATACAAGATGCAACCCTGAGTCTAACTGCAAGAGAATCTGAGATTGGAGGAGAGGACAACAAGAAGAGCTGGGGATCTAAAGATCAAGAAGTCGTTGGAACAGGAAAATGGAGAGATCCGATATCGGTCAGACGGGGGTCAAATTTGGAGAGGAAAGAAGTGGAGGAGGGGCATAGACCAATTGGAAGCATTGAAAGGACAGTAAGGGATGAATGCAAAACTAATAGTGGTGTATCGTCTCCACGTTTTCTTGTGCTCCGAGGGAGCAGCAACGTCTGTCGGGCTCTCCTTGAGTCTCCTTACCCATTCCCGCCCACTGCTCTCCTCCCCCGCTGCTTCCGTCTCTAGTAACTCTCGCCATCCACTACTTCATTGACGCTTGAGCAATCATGGGCACGGCGGGCCCTTCACATGGAACCATCGAAACGAGTTGGCTTCCCTCATAACCATAGCGGACATCCTAACTTACATTTCACAATCAACACAACACACACTTCATGATACCCATCATCCCTTTCCTCACTTATCCAGCACCAGTTCCAGGGGAACGGTCTGAAACTTTTGCGTTACTGCCGCAGCTGCTAAGGTAGATGAATACTAGCTTCGCAAACATGCATGGCCAGGCAAGAGCACGTGTTGTGCAAAATTGTTTCAGGTCTTCCACAGTGCGACACATACAATCACTCATGATTGTATCACAGTGTGAGTTGGGGATACGAACACATCTGACGTAACTGTGGGGTTTGAGAACTGGACCGAAATCGAGTTACTAGAGAAATTCAATTAGCTACCGGATGAGATCTTCCTGATCAGTAACTTCAAAATCCAGCGATGGTAGTGGAATAAAACAGGTTGCTAAAAAACATTTGCATAATTTAGGGGCACGAGCAGCGACTGCAAGAAGCTACTGGAGCAGTCTTAGTTCCAACAACTTGATCCTGGTATCCGTACGACCACGAATCCTTTGACACAACGTCTGTCAGCTCCTGCAGATACCACGCGTACGAGAAAACGATGGCACAATCATTTCAACACCAAAATGTGTCACTGACGCCGGGAGATAAGCATTAGAATTGTATGGCCAACACCAAATTGAAACAGCGTTATATTGCAAAACTCAAAACTCGGGAGATTGATAATTTAAGAGGATGCATGACCACTCAAACTTTCACTCGCTCATTTGCATCGACGACATGGCGAATGGTGTTTCCACCGGCTGACTTAGGATTGGAAACGTAGAAAGAAAGAGCCAAAGTACGCCACAATTGAGGCGTTATGGGCAACGGCAAATGCAGGAACACCTTCAAAGTCAATTTATTGTGGTTTCATACGATCACGACTCTCGTGATCCGCCGCAGTTCCCAACAAGCTGCCATCCTCGACGACCATGGTTAATGGAGCACTTCCAAGACCGTCGGCAATCGCAAGAAGGATCTGGTTCAAGGACGATCGGAACTCGTTCAAATCTACAGTGTCATTGTGGTCGGTGTCGAAGTCCTGGAACACAGAGTCATAAAGGGCAGTCAGTTCAGCCGGAGTTTTGGAGTCAGGAACACCGAAGTGAAGGTCGATGAGGTTGAGCCGCTCAAAGGCAGGGCGAAGTTCGGAACGAGAGAGCACGCCGTCGGCATTGACGTCAAGTTCATGGAACAGGGGATCCACAGCTAGGTTAAATGCGGCCTGGTCTTCAGCGAAGGAGCGCACCATGGAGCCGTCCATGAGCACGACTCGGCCGGCAGGTTTCTGGGCCTCGAGCGCCATGTGAAGAAGGACGGGATCGCGGAATGAGGAACGGATAGGGACAAGGAAGGAAAAATCAGCAAAGGAGGAAGAGGAGGAGGAGAATTGCGAAGGCAAAGTGAGCAGGGCAAAGCGCGGCACGACGCAAAACGAGGCAGGCACCCTCGTGGGCAGAGAGAGAGTGGGAGAGCGCGGGGGGCACTGAGTCCGCGCCAGTCAGCATCATCATCATTCCAACCCCACGAGGAGGAGGAGGGACTTGTTGACGGCGACACTCGTGCTGTCTGTCTCTGTCGCTGTCGCTGTCCTTGCAAAATATCTATTCTATCTGAGCGGGAGTCATGGTCGTGCCCACCGCCCCCTCGTGCTGACTCGGCCCACTCCCCCCCTGCTCCCAGCTCCCTGCTCCGCCGTGTCTGATCCTTTCTTCCTTTTCTTTTTCTTTTCTATTTCTTTCTTTCAAATGGTCAGAATTTCATTTTCCTAACTTTTTCTCATGGAAAGTTTACTTTGTTGATAGTTTTTATCTAAAAATGACATGGATAATTAATTTTATTATGTAAATGAATTTATCTATGTGAAATTAATTTTTTGATCCTTACCAATTTGATTTAGAAGAACATTCAATTAAAACGTTTGTAATTGATAAAAATAACTTATTATTATTATTTTTTTTAAGATTCCAAATTAAATGGTAAAAAATAATACAAAAAGTTTTTGGTTTCAATCCCGTATTAATCTTCATTTTTTTTTAAAAAAATCTCCTCAATGGATCCTTACACTTAAAAGGGAACCACGGCCATAGGAGATTCTCAATGAGAAGAACGGTTACAGGAGGCGAACATGAGGACTCACCCACAGTTACGAGTCCACACGTTAAAAGGCCCCCTTTTTCCTTCTTCGTCTTCCACTGTCTTCCTGCTTTTACTGCCTTCACTGCCTCTCTCTCTCTTTCTCTCTCTCTCACTTTGGGATCGATCGTTTCTGTAGAGCTCTTTTTGCAGTTGTTGTAGAGGACTTGTCTTCTGAATCCTCCCGCTTGTGTGTGGATTCGCATCTCTACACTTGGTTTTGTTTTATTTTTTGTTCCAGGTCTTTTCACTTTGCGTGGTTGTCCTAATTTTTTACGAAGGTCTACTAAGAAAGAAGGTTCTGTAAATCGGATGGATCATGACTCATGAGACCATCGATGAGACCTGAGAGCGCGTAGTGCTTAAAACAGATCCGGGGAAGCCGTGGATGAATTCCTCTACTCGTGGGAATCGACGGGAACTTCAGATGAAACTCCTCAAGTTTTGAACTGTTGAACTGTAAATTTTGCACTTTTCTCAACGAGTGGTAAAGTCACGAACAAGAGGAATGATGTGCGAGTGCGTCATTCTGCCTGAGCAATGACATTCAATAGATTGTTGCATATTCGAAACTCCTGGTTGTGAATAGAAAATTCCAATCCTAGCTTTGAATTACTCTCAAACTACCTTGACTTTTGTCACAGAAGATTACTCTTGGTAGATTTGTCAACCACTTCTGGTGTTCACGAGTGATGCTTATTAGGAAGCAAGTCAACGGAAATGGAGTTTACGGAACAATTGTGCGAAGCCCTTGGCTTATTCGTGGATTGTGGCGTTGTATTGATTGCTCTCCTGTTGAAACTCTTCTACCGGTTGTGTGTTGCATACTTGGATAAAAATTTCTGCACACGTGATTAGTGCTGTAGTAGCCTCCAACAGGTGATGGTGCCAATCTTAAATACCGCGTCTTCCAGCAGATGGAATTTGTGGAGGCACGAAAGTGGTACTACAACAAAATCATCCTGGAGAAGATTATCTGAATGAGGTTGTAAGTCATTCTGTATCCTGTGCATTATTGGTTGCGAAGGGGTTCATGGATAAGGTTCTAGTGCCATTTATAACCCTGACCGCACAAGTGTTCGTGTCTGGATATGTTACCAGGCAGAAGTAATTGGTATGAGCTCGGAAAAGAAGGGGTGAAATGGTTTCAATTACGGGTGATAATTTGGAATGTGTAAGTTAACAGCCCGTCAGAGTATGGGAATGTGAGCAGAGCAGTCCAGCAAAAGTCAGTGGTAAGTAACTAGATTCAGGCCGACTGAAACCTTTGAAGCGAGAACACAGGGAGCGCTTCGCCACACCACTTGAGCGCACTTGTTTGCCATGTCTGTATTTGATAGGTCACTCTCAATGGCGCTTACGCTCCTTTGCCACTTTCGGGCTTCTAGAAGGGTTCCAAGTGATTGTTGGCGAAATTGGAAAGAACAAGGTCCTTGTCGATCGTTTACATCGGGCAATCAGTCCATTGATGTGATTGGACGTGCGTCACCTTCGCAGTAATCTGTCAAGGGTTCTCGCAGTTGAATTTGAAATGTCGAATGTTATTTCATGTGGAAGATGTTTTCGGTTTTGGGAGTCAGTATTTTCGAGGGTCTTTTGGGTCGCCGATGATTCCGCAAGTATCTAATTGGGTACGAACTTTACAAATAAAAATCCATGTATAGTGGTGTCTGCAGAGAATCTGCTTGTAACGCCATCCATAGTTTGGTGGTGAAATACTCTGAAAGATGCCCACATGTTGACATATTTGATGTAACATAGAATACAGTTCCAAGGCCGGCAATGTTCTCTAACTCGAGGATAGATACGTTCAAGAATTTATGTTTTTTTGGTGCATTGGAACGGATTAGGGAATGTGAGTATTGCTGTCATCACTTCGTTTCCACCGCCCAGAGATTCTGGCAGTCACGGCTATGGGCGCTTCTTGAGGTGTTTTTGAATCTCGTGCGGCATTTCCTCCCAGCATTGGAATTGGAAACTGCCATGCTGTGGAGAAGTACAGTCATGGATTGCCATATCTGCTGACACTTCCTCCAAGTCGATGCCAGATAAATCTTCTGTAATGGAAAGTTCTGCAAATTCCGCTATCTTAGATCTAGCAATTCAATTTTAGTTGCATATACCAGCCCATGTAAGTACATCGGCGCCCTTGATTATGAGGCAACTTTTGGCTAGTATGGGTTTGATTCAGTGCCCAGGGTAACGTGCTCTAGCTTTTTTATGTTAATTCTTTCCGGGTTTGCGAGTTCGAACTCCAGGCTGTGTTGGGGATTTGAAATGACAACACTTCGATAGAGTGAAAGATACTTCCTCTTACGAATACTATTCGGGGAATGAAAGTGCAAATTCATATGAATGCACGGGGAGCGTGATCTTAATTCTTCATGCATTAAAAGATGGTCAACACAGATTAATGAGGATTTTCGACCCGCAGCAACCTCGTGTGCAGAGAATGTCTTTAATCGTATAATGAAACTTGAATAGACAATGAAGCCCATAGAATTACTTGCCAGGATCATGGACGCAAGGCTTCTGAGTATGAAGAGAAAAACTAAAATTTGTTGAAATCCTAGTGAGTTGGATAAAGAAAAGTACAATATCTCCACACTATGATGGGGGTGGGTTCGGAAGCTCGAGGCGACGAACAGTTTAGCTTAAGCGAAGTCTTGAAGGACAGGCTGTACTTTGCGCCTTTGCAGAGTGTGGAGGATACATCAGCTGTGGTGAAGTGCCTCCCTAAGCGCACTATCAGCTTCAATATCGATTCGGAACTTGTGCGTGTGCCGTTTTCGCCACTCTTATCTTTTCCTTTTCTTTTTTCACCAAGGTTTAAATTTGGAATGCCAGATATGTGAACGACTAAGTCAACAGCGCATCACTGCAGGTGTATGAACCATTTTTCGCTGATTTTGGACCTCTGAATCTTGCGTGCACTTACCGGTTTTGCTGGAAACTTAATCATCTCCTTAAGGTACATGCTTTCCATTGACATAGTTGTGCTCCCGTGGTTTAATTGGTGCCTGGTCGTTTGAGGATAATGTGAGCTGCGGAAAACGCAAAAAGACTAGCAATTTCTGCTATTTCTTGCCCTCGACATTCTCACATGCTTCTCGTGCTGGGTTATCCAGATAGCTTGGTTTGATATTGCATTACTGACATTATGTGAGATTGTGATTTGCACGATGGAGCCCTAGGAATTGCTTCAGCTGATGCAGTGGTGTTTGTCAGGAAGCAGATGAGCAGCACCAGTGTGTACTATTCTGTTGTCACGTAGACCCTAAGAAGAAGTCGAACGCCGCCGTGTTGGTGTGCAATTCCTATCCCTCCCATCTTTTTACTGCATGATGTGGTTGTAGCTATCAAATTACACCGACCTTGTCCAAACTTTCCATGAAAGTGTCCGCAGGTTAAATGACTGCACTTACGGCCGATGGTCGTAGAATCTGGAGTTGCAGAAATATTAAATAGAATGTATATCCATAGCTAGCTCGTCAGGGTTGTTTTCGTGTCAGTGCCGCAGAAAAATGCTCTGTGACCTATCTTGTAATAATACTGAGGATAAAGTCATTAAATCTTGAATAAGTTTCGAAGTTACTACCCTTACTTGGATGTCTTCTTGCCTGAGTTTTAAGCCTTATGGCCCAACCTCACAAATGGAGTTATAAATCAATGGACGTTAGGTACTTGTGAAACAAAGAATCACCTGTTTGATGGATTCTATCTGTTAATTAAGAAAGGAAATAGACACTAATGGAGCTGAAGGTTGTATTGATGAGTTATATTGGTGCAGCTTGGAGCGTACTTGGTGCTTTTTTGCGGTGCAGAATCGGATGCAGCATATTCAACGCTCTCTATGTTCGAACCTTTCTTGGCGTTCCGGGATCCTACTTGTGGCATCTCAACGTACCGTCTCACAGTGCTTGACTGCATTCGGGTACAATTCACAGAATCTGAATCTTCTCTTCCTGCTGTCAAAAACAGCTGTATAATTCTTGGGTGAACTCATATGGTTGTGTATTCCTTGATTGGCCTAAGTAGAGTATGGTCGCATGTTTCGGCTAAAGAAAAACAGCTTTGTATTCTCAGGCTGTATTGAAGGCCAACCAGGTTGGTTGGATTGACGTCAACAATTTCAACCTGGAGGAGTATGAGTACTTCGAACAGGTGCGCAATTATTTTCTCTTTTAAACCGCTGCTTGCAAGACCAAGCTTTTTCAGAACTCGAAAGCGAGATGATAATGGTCATGTCGTACACAAAACTCTTCTAGTAGCTGTTCACGTATTCAGATTGCTCATATTTTTTTTGACTGTTGGTAGTGATAGCATTAAGTAAAGTATGGGTTGCTGCTACAATTTGTTTGATGTACCCTACTTTAGCTTGTTGGTTGACGTTTTCCATCCATGCACCCATCAGGTTGAAAACGGAGACCTTAATTGGATTGTTCCTAACAAGCTCATGGCATTCAGTGGGCCGTCTGCCAATCGCTTGGAGGTTGTTCACAGCAATGTTTCTGAATTTCTTCATTTTACACAAATGATTTTCTCACATAGCTGCTAATTTTTCTTTCAATGATTTTGTTAGTCATTGTCAGCTAAAAATCTTAAGGTAGTTCAGCTGTTGTAGAGATGCACAGCTAAGAAGTCTTTAATTATGATTCATAATCTGAAGTAAAGTTTCTTGACCATTGTCAAATAAGCCGCTTTATTCCTATCACCAATGATCTCACTTTTGACAGCTCACTTTCCTCGACAAGGAATGTGCAAAAATAAATCCATGCTGTTAAGAATGAAAAGTAGCAATTTGTTGACATTGCACTGTTCAGCATTAATCCTGAGCTGGTGGTTGGGAAGTTTTGTAGATTTATGGATACAGGACATTAGTGCCGGAGGATTATATCGAGTACTTTCATCGGGTTTGCTTCTTGTTCTTGTCTTGAGGTTGCACTTAGAAGTGATCAATTATCTGGTTTTTATGTGAAAGATTAGGTTATCTCATCATGACAATCGCAAATGTTGCAATGCATATCATGCTCTTGAAAACATACAATGTCACAAATTTTCCGTTGAGGACAATCGTCACAAATATGATTGAACTGAAGTGGGAGTATGACAGGTAGGGATTACAGGCGTAGTAAGGCTCAATCGAAAAGCGTATGATAGAAGGCGTTTTACTGAACACGGACTATCCCATCACGATTTATACTTTCCAGATGGCAGGTCAACTTCTTTTTATCTGACTTCTTATCGATTTTAAGGATTTAAATTCATCTTGTCGTGGGCTTCTTCCCTATCTGGTTGGATCCTAAATCTCTAATGTTTCGCCTTTGTCGTATGATCATAAGAACACTTGTTCCAGATTTTTGCATGTGTGCTCAATATGTTCAATCGATTGTATTATGCAATGGCTTTGTACTTGAGACTTGCAGTAACTTCAATCATGATTGTTGGAATAAATAGAGTGCAAAAATCAGCGAACAAAGCTTGTATGGTTTGTTCCTTTCAATCGGACAAACTCATGTAATTGTAGTTCTAATAAATTAGCCGCGAATTTTGTAGCAGCTGTCCTCCTGATAGAATTTTGCGGAGATTCTTGGAGATAGTAGAGGAGACATCTGGAGCTTTAGCCGTACATTGTAAAGTAAGCTGCTGTTAATCACTTTGTCACGGTTACGTGGAGGGTGCAATGGAGATCCACCAAATAAAATCTAGTCTAAGGCCACCTGCTGTGTTTTTCACTTAGGTCACTGGGAGAATTAAAGTCGGGTTTACGTATTGAGGAGGATTCAAATCAAGACGAAGAAATCAACTAGGAATGGTTGCTAAAATTGGTAATTTTCGCCTGCGCAGGCAGGATTAGGGCGAACGGGCGCTCTCATGGGTTGTTACATCATGAAGCATTTCCGGTTTACATGTAATGAGGTGCCCTCAGCTATACTCAAGCCTTCTCTCGCAGTCTCAATTTTTCTGTAGTTTGTAATCAGAGACGAGGAATACCAGGCCCATCACCAGTCTTATCAGAGAATGGAAGATGGTAGTTGGAATCACTTCTTCAATGATCATGGTCAATAACTTTGATTCATCTTCAGTCAGATCTCCTAATGTACAAATTTAAAGTGCATTACAGTCTTTATTGTCTTGCTTGGCGCTGTTTGGTATCAAAATTTGTTTAGTTAGAAGCTCCCATGTCGGATATGTTTGGTTCGGAATCCTTTGTTTGAAAAAATCAGAGCATACTATGGCTGATTGGCGTTGTCTCTCTTTGGTCTTTTTCTTTTATTTTCCAACTTAGATTTTTAAATTTTTTTTGTAAATTTAGGCCAGTTCACATACTTTTCTTTGAGCCACTGAAAAAGAATTAAACTGGATCACTCAATTTGTGCTATCCAGACGTTGGGTTATCTGCGCATCGTGCGTCCTGGCAGTGTGATTGGTCCTCAACAACATTACTTGAAGGAGATGCAGTATCGCATGTGGAAAGCTGTGGGTACCTTGCATTTTTTACCATCAAAATTTTATCCATGGACTCAAGTTAAATTCCTTAACATGAAAACCACGTCATATACAGTATCCTACAGATTACTGTTGTTAATCTGTGCTTTTAATATTGCGCGTAAATTGCAACTATTGAAATGTCCTTCAGAATGCAGGGTAATATGATGAGGCATCAGATAGCACAAACAAATGCAAATAGCCAGACTACTCATAATCTTCGAGGCACGGAACAAGGGCCGGCACCAAACTCTTGTGGTAGTTGTGGGACCCAGCCGAACTATAAATTTGTGAGCTCAAAACAATTATCGGTCAACCCAAGTTTCAGACGAGGAATATTGCGTAATCGGGTGAGGGTCTCCGAAGTCCTTGAGTAAATCGTTGATGGTGATCTTTGACTTGTATTAAGAGCATGCTGACTCGTCAAGCAAACTGAAATGGAAAATGAATAAATATTCAACAAGAAGTGCTGCAGTATGCATGCGGTTTGGAAGACCTCAATGGGTGCTTAACCACAGGATGAAGGTGGGGTAGTCCAGGATCGCGCTGCCGAAAGGTCTCCACCACCACGCTCGACATTGGATGTGACAGCGTCTCCACAACGAGTGAGGCGGAAAGCGGTCGGCACCAGCAGAGCAGGAGTTTATAAAGGGGCCTTGCAGGTATAAAATTCTAAATTTAATGTTTTAGATCATAATAAAGCTCCGCTTCCTTCAATCACGTAGTTACACTTGCTGTATGCTGTATAAATCGTCACGCTGTTTTCGTTTGCTACAATAGCAGTGTCCACATTCAGCATCTTAATGAAACTTTCTATATTGTACCTTGATGAAATTCAGTGTACTAGGTGTTTTTCCACGTTTCCATGCACAAATTGATTGCCGAGGCTGATTGAAAATTAAACCAGTTTTTTTTTCTAACCTTGAGTGTCGGGAATATAACCAATTGTGCATGTAAACCTCTGTTTCTATTAACCTTCCTGGTTAACTTTTTCTTTGATACCAACGGTCTGTAGGACGAAGCATCTTGGAGCATTCGACAGCAACACGTAGGGGTGTCACCCACGGCTCCTAGTTATACCCAAAACACGAGGTTTAGCAACATTGTCAATGGTATGGGAAGACTCTCTGTGAACGACCCGGAGTCTTCTTCATCAAGTGCCAAAAATGTCTCCCGTGTTCCCTCTCAAAGAAGTAAAAGCACGATAAATTCAAGCCTTTCATCAACAAACCCTCAAAATACTGGACATGGAGACCACATTGGTGCGTTACAAACACTTTTGTGTTGTCGGTAACTACGTACACGTTACAATGCAACGCGCCTACCCGGGGTGCATTAGGTGGAAGGACTGACAAGCCTGTACTCTTTGCTGGTTGATTCTAGTTGTGCTTTGCTGTTGCACTACTACCTATAGTATGGTAATTTGCACTTGCCTAGTATTTTACATCAAACAGCATCATTTATATGAACTTGGATAATTTCTAGTAAGTAATGTTCGTGTGGCTTGGTGTGGTAATGAACGTAAGTAGGCATTCTGAGGAACGCTTCAGGTCATCAACTGGAGCCTCAATCCCACGGAGGTTCAGTGGTTGTTCAACGGGTAATAAACTCTGCTGGACAGCCAAGGAAAGTGTTGTTGCCGGTTGTAGAAAAAGAGGGACTACTCCCGCAGTTAAGGTCGAGGTTTCGTGACTTTTCTCCTGCACGGAGGTATGGAACACCGGGACCTTGTGTCATGGGTTCGGCCTCCTCCAAGTGGGACCCTGCACAAAGCCCATACACTTGAGTTGTAGAATATGAATAAAAGTTTTCTTTCTTTGTAGACATAAGCAGTTGAATGAATCTTCTGCTGTTGGTCATGTCTCCCTCCAACCCCTAAGTTATGGATCAGTAAAGTCATAAATTTCCTAATTAGCACCCTGAAGTGGCATTTAGCTGAGGTAGCTTGGCTTCAAAGCCTGACCAGTAGTTGGGCATAATCTAGGTTTGGCTAGGTTTAGACTCTGGACTTCATTTGTCCAGAAGAGACCCAATGCAAACTAATGTGACGCCCTACAGAAATAGTCGTCCAATACAAACTTGCCTCATCATTGTGTTCCTATGTTTTTATTTGCAATGGTTACTTGGATAACTCATAATCTCGCTTAAGATGAAAAGTGGGTCATCTGCAAGTAAACTGCTATATCTGCAAGTTATTGCTATATCACTTCTAGCAATAACTTTCAAAATTATGTACATTTAGTGTTCATCCCAGTTTAGGATTCGACATTGTATCTAAAGTCTGCTATGGTGCACTGTCCAGAGCATAATGTACACTAAATAGGCGAGATTTGAGAGCGCTAATCAAAACTATGTGATTGTTTGTAGTTCATGTATATGTAGTGGTTTGTAAGTTGGTTAAGAGTGCTATTTATAACTATAGACTTTATTGTGGAGAAGAACCCACACATTTCTTATTACCTTGGTCTTTGAATGGTTCTATTCATTTATTTTAGTGTGCAGTAATTGTGATGTTATGAGACAAATGTGGGCAAAACATTTAAGGCAATTTTTATGAATCCCATTAGTTGGGATTCTACTTGCAACATTTTAGATGCAACCAATTACACTAATTACTTAGTCAAGTTTCAATTGCAAGTAACATTATTTAATATGTATCTATAAGTAAAATCTAAGAGTAATTTTGTAGAACTATAATAGAATAAGATGACATTTTGGAAATGTGTACCATTAGTAATAATGAAGATAATTGGTTACTAATTAAATATAGAATTATTATAAGTTTCTAATATCATCTAGGGGATGTATTCTTTGCTAATATCCAAACATATTGTTCTACAAAATATCAAGCAATATATTATAATAAATTTTCAAAAAGTTGAGTTTTAAAATAAAGATTGGTTGATGCTTTGAAGTTTAATACTTTGCAATGAATTGGTTTCATTAAAATAATTGAATTTATGTATTCTCAAAATTATATTATCTTGTATTGTAACCATCAAATTATGTTTGATAGCGTTACAAGATTAATAATAAAATTTCAACTTTGGTTCTTCTAATAGATGCCTTTTTAAATTGGAAACTTAAAAACTTTTTATCATTATAGACTTGAAAAATATTTTTTCAATGTTTTATAACAATATGATTTTCTTAGATATCATGTTTTATTAGTTATGCATATATTCTATCCTCTATCTATATCAGGTACTGTGAAAGTTTTATAGTTGCTCATTAAGACTTGGAAATGTACAGAACAACTGATTAGGTTGATTTTTAAAACTAAAAAACAACTGGGATGTAAGTTTAATTCAAAGTTGCAGTCTGATTCCCATTAATACCGCTTCTAGAAGGGACACATAACACCGCCTTTCACTCACTCTTTTGCAAACGTGAAATATAGGCTTTTCCTGCTTTCCACGACATGCTGTCTTTCCATTTTCAACGCCACATGAAGCTGTTGTGGTCATTGTTCGTTGGGTTCACACACCATGATTTGCTAGCAGTGATATTTTTAAGTGACCAGGCTCAGATGGTCATATCAAGTATGGAAGGGTAAACGTGAACACCAACTGATTGCTGAAACAATAAAACAAAAAACTTGAAGAAGAATTTGAAGAAGAAGAAGTAGACATGTCTAACAGACGAAGTGTGTAGAGGGAGATGAAACAGATGTGAGGTGGTTTGTTATGTTGTAGGCGAGCAATGGTTTGTTAGAGCATGTTGACACTTCCTGTCAAGTTTTGCAGCCACCCTGATTTTGTTGACACTCGTTGTGACTGGGCGTCTCTTCTCAACGTTGTAGAACAAACCATAGCTATGATTTGTCACGGACTGGATTAACTTGCAACGTTCATGACTTGCACAGAGTGCATTCTCTCGCTATGCCTGGAGCCAGTGTGCATGCCGTCGACTTTCATGGCAGAGTTGCAACAGAATCCAACAAGGAGACTGTGGGTGCATGTTGTGCACTATGGGGAAAACCTTGGACAAGCGGCCTGTGAAGAGGTAGAGTTCTGGCACGAAAGCCTTTCGATCTTATGAATATTAAAAGACGAAGTGGAGGGTATGGTCCTCAACATGGGGTGTACAATGTCATCCTTTTTCTGACGAGCATGGTTCAAATGCTGCATGAAGAATCACCCTGCAACTGTGATCCTAGGCCGGTACAATGCAGCTCTGAATTCATCGGAGCCCTTGCTGTGCTCCAAGGTCAGGCGCATTTCCTCGACTAAAGCTGGCTTCTCTTGTGGGCATGGCGCAAACAACAGAATTGGATATTTTGGTGCGCCATCTCCACTTCCATCCACATACTAGCCTGTATCCGCCACCAGCGAAGAATGCATCCCCATTTTACAGCCTTTCCAGCTTGCTTCTACTGCCAAGAAAGACTGTTACATGCTCTCGGTTTCTGCAAAAGAAACCAATGATTTTTTGCTTGAATTCTTTTATGGTGAGGTTGGCTTTTTGATCTGATCGAGAGCAAGGAACCAGCCATTGCTTCGTAAAGCCAAGTGTACGATGGACGGCATTTTCAACAAGGACGCTATGCAGGCAAGTGGACTATTTATGTTTCTGCATCTTCTCGGGAAAAAGATATCTCTGCCACGGACCAGCGTAAAGACCTCATGCATCCAGTGAGGATCTCCTGTCTTGTATGGTTACGGCAGAAGTGGTTTTATTATTCATTCACAAACTTCGTAACAAAGAGCTTCGGTGCCAGGTTTAGGGTTTAGAGCTTCGAGTGTGAAGACAACTGATTTTTTGTTTTTTTTCAATTGTCATCAATTGCTTCTAATCATTGTGGGGTTCACCAGAACAGAATGTCCATCTTCAGTGGATAGGTGGTTAACATCTTATTTCCAGTGCAGTCCCTTACATTTTTCTGATGTGTCCCACCGTCAGCAACACTTAGTGAGATTCATATGCTGTAATTGTTTGCTAGAATACTGAACTCGAAGCAGTGGATAGAAAAAATAGTTATCTGACATTTGAAATTTGTCTTACCAGTTAACCAGCCTGGTACTGCTGTTGTCGGCTGCCATGTACACCTGGTCATTGCCTCAGCAAAATCTGCTCACAAAATCCTAAACACAAAAAGAGTATGTCACAAGGCTGTTAAAACTTCATTGTGAGACTGAAGTAGTGTTACTGATACATGAGCAGGTACATCTAGCAGTGAGAAGATACAAAAGCTTGGGTGAAGGCCGAAAACGCCGTCTAGATAACGAATCACATCTACTGTTGTAAGCTGATGGGATCTTACGTGACCGAGAAAAGAGGAACTTCACCATCCATCATGATTCTTAGTAACTAGATCGATGCAATTTTAAGAGAAAAGAAGCCAAATTTTTCACCAGAATTGACCCAAGGGATGATCATCTGACCTTTTAAAGCCTAGGTTTTGCTGCTTTGCCAGTTGAGCTAGAGAAGACCTAAGCTCAATTATAATCATAGAATCATGGGACCATTTCAATCCTAGACGGCAGCGAGACTGATAGATAATTTAGTACAAGGGAGTTTAGGACTTGTTAACAAAATCAAGACGCTAAATGCCAAAAACACAGGCCCAGTGAAGGGCCCGTTCTTCCTGGCAGATCATGAGGACAATAGAGGTTCTGCTTGGTGTGATGCCTCGGTTGCGTGCTCTGCGAACACCCTTCCCGATATTCTTCCTTTATTGTTGTGACGATCGGCGAGTTTCTGAGCACATCCCCTTCCTGTTCTTTGGTTGGCCAGCGACTCCGAGACCATGACTTTCAGTGAATCCAGAATCCCCATCGGTTCCGATCGCTCGTCCGAGCATGTAACTTGCACTGTCACATTCTCCCTGCTTACTTCTCTGCTGCAGTGACGATCAGCTGAACGTGACAAAGCATTGCAGGCTGGACCATCTGCCGGCAATCCAAGCCACTCTGCAATGCAAAAAATGAATTCCACTTCAGATTTTAGTGCTCACCCACACTAGAGCTCAAGGTATGAATGATACCACAACGTTGTAACTTACCTTCTAAACATTCTTACTCAAGGATGAGCCACTCGAAATTGATTTCTCGAGAAGGAACTAACAACCAACCATCTGTCCAAAATAGGAAAACCAGATAGTTCGGAATTTACCAGGGCCCCGCTCATCTTGAAAATAGAATCCATGGACTTCCTGTTGCGCTTTTTCTACTGCTGACGAGTTCTCAGAAAAACTCGTAGTTCCCACTTTTAAATGACTCCCCTGGAAAATGATACAAACAACAATTGGCGAGGAATGTACAATTCCTGATCAGTGAATTCGTAGTATTCAGAACTATTGCTAGTCGCTCAATAGCTCGGGCTTCAATTCTCAGGAAGATCAATCCAAGTCTTGCAGTTACCTTCTTGGAACTCCTTGTAATCGTCTGAGGCCTGAATGTGCACTCGGCCATTTCTTGGTCCTGCTTCTCCTTCCGAAGTTCTTCTACTCTCCGTTGCTTACGTTCTTTGTCTGTGCAAATTATCTTGTACCACTGTCGACTTGTGCTGCCACATCAAGACGTGACACTTATTAATTTTGAATCTTTAACTTCTGGAGTCACAAAATGGTTCATAATGCCCTTTGGAATTTACGTGAATTTTCTCCTTCGACCAGCAAGATTGCGAGACAGTCGATCCATCTTGAATTGATAATTAGAGTTGCTGTTATCGAAATGAGGTTTATGCTTAAGAACCGAATGTATTGTGGCTCTGTGACATTTTTTCTGCAAGGTTTCAATAACATCATCACACTCTAAGCGAAACAAAGCAGCTTGAACATCAAAACACACACACACATTTATACATACATATATATATATATATCAAGTCCAAGTCGTAGCGAGCAGCTTCAAAAAGCAATCTATGTACCTCAGCACCAAGCATCAACTGCACAAATTGACTGCAAGTGAAGGGCTTTTCAGCACATTCCTGGTCTTTTATCACCTCCATGATGTCTTGAACCACGTCAGCACTCAATTGATCATAATTTGCAGTCGCAAGAACAACCTTTCCGTCCTGTTAGAATTGTGAAAACTCTTCCAATTTAGCCTTGGAGCGCAACTGATATCACAAAGGATTAGAATACTCAACAGGATTCTGACAACTTGGGACATCCTCTCAGAAGTTCGTCTGGAATTAGAGAGGTATTAGTAACAGGTTGTGAGACATGGTGGTGCAAGACCTTGTCCTCGTCCAAGCATTCAAATACTTTTTTGAAACCTTTCTCTTCAAGACGCCCCAGTAGCCTCTGAGAAGTGGCTCCAACATACTGACAACTTGCTTGTTCCTTTTTGATCTTGTTATCCTTCGCAGCAAGGACCTCCTTTTTATTGTCAAAGGCGAACTTCAGTTTATACAAATATTCACCGATTGGAAGACGTATCGGGTTCCTCTGTAGAAAAGAATGCAGGTCATGTCAGACATCTTCCACTAGACTAGATCGAACTATGAATTGTTTTACAATGAAACTTGGTCCAAGGAAAATAATATCTCACGTCGGTTTGAGGTTTCCGTCCTGTGAGCGGTTTGAAGAACCTTCTTCCAGTGGCAGGATCAACGGGTCTGTGAACTAAGTGCTCTTGCATCTGCTTCTTCTTTGTTAACTTCGATGCATACTGCAATAGCCTTTCAAAGACAGTTCCCTCCTGCTGCACACTACAGATTTCCCCAGGCGTATCCATCCCCTCCACTTGACCCCTATTTATAGCTGGTCGGAATGTCACTCTGCACACAATCAGTTTCATGATTCAAAGACCTGAGGAGGCATAGAATTATTGCGTAGATTCAAGGTCTTCATAGTACATGGTTTTCACCTGCGTTAGCCATGATGCGGCGTTGATAACCAGATGGCAATGACGCGAACACCCAGGTTCCAGTCTTCAAACACAAAATACTAAAATGTGCTATGACTGAAAAGGCCCATGGATATCAAGAAGCAAGAATTTAATACCCCTGAATTGTCCTCACACTAGCAACTAACTGATGCTGGTCAGAACGCAAGTTGAGAACAGTAAAAATATCAAGCAATCAGATCAAGGGATGCTCTTCAAACGCTTGCCGTCACTCTGTAAAAGACCGATCTTCGAATGGCCAAGAAATGAGCAAGTTGTTGACAATGAGGGCTGGCAATATCAAATCAGGAACATGAGAAGCTGATGCACTGAGAAATTGTCAATACTTATATGATGGACAAGAATTCGGCAGTTTATGAAATCAAGCATCTCAAGCTAATGATCAAGAAGACATGCAGACATTCAAGCAATTACCAACACGTTGATAAGTTCTATGAACCTCTTCTTTCATAACACGGAAAAGCTAATGCATCTGCTGAGCAACACATAGCTTTTCTTGGGAAGGTTGCGGTGTCAACGTGAGTGCAGGGGGACTTATTCCTTAAGCAGATCAATTTATATACACCAAGGAACTGGAACCTCTAGATTCATCCTCCACCTATGTATGAAACATGAAAACTAACAATTAACGTATACACCTACCCATGCCAATAAAAACAGGTAAGAATTTATTAATTTATCAAAATTAAGGAAAATGTCGAAATATCTCAACAAAAAGCTCAAATGACTTAAACCATGCCAATAAAAAGTTAGATGATGGTTTTCAGCACTAACCCTTCAGGAAACCACTGCATGTACTCCGCCTGCCGTCGTCTGCGACTCTCCGCATCCAGAAAAAGTTGTTCAAACCGATTACATCCATCATTTCGTTCAAAAGAATTGTCTATTCGGTGGTTAATCTGAGGCTTGAAAGTGCATTCCATAAATTGAGCATCCCATACCTGTCATGTCAGTCCGGAAACTGTTAGATTTCTCATGAGTCACCGTCATAGTTTGTGTGACATGCTGCTATAAGTCTTTACAACATCTATGGTAGACTTACCTCATTTCGAAGTTCCTGCAATTGATCTTGCTTTGGTTTTTCTTCGATTTGATTGAGCCTCTTCCAAACCTTACCATGCTCCCTCTGTAAATTTTTAGCTCGTTTGCTACACAAAGCAAGTAAAGATATTACAGTGAGGGACATGCAGATCCACTACATGTAACTATGAATGGAGATTAACAAGACCACATACTCATAAGTCTCAAAAATGTCCGGACAAAACATCCCTTGCTTCACTGAGCTTCTCATAAATTGTGGCACTAAAAAATTTAGTAAAGAGTTTCAACATCTATTTAGTTCTCTTGAAAGAGTAGCGAACCAAAAGCAATAGCCTTAGGTTTGGAGTTTTAATCATCACCTTTTTCGACCAAGAGCACCTCTAAATTTTTAGAAAGCTATCGGAGTTTTTAGATGGAGGCCGCACTAGAGTAGGCAATGTTCTACCCACGTTTCACTACTGGCGAGCTGTTTGTATAGTATTGATGACGAGCAGGAATAAGGAACTCAAGATATGATACAACTAACCTGATTTCAGGTATTCCAGTCAATTCAGATAATTCTTTAGCTTCATCCTCCTTTTTCTTTTTTTCTACGAGCTTTTGTTGATTTTCTCTTTTGGTTAGACCTTCAGTATACAAGAGTTCTCCATAATTCCTGTATTGTTTTGCGGTTTTTCCGCGCATTAGCATTATCCTCCAGGATTTCTGACAGGCCGAAACCACAATGCAGGAATTAGTTCATTCAGCAAATCGAAACAAATTTTAAAATATTCTGCACCATTCGTTAGCAACCAGACCATATAAAATGAAAAATAATATATATATATATATATTGTGAGCCACTCATATTCAATCGTTGCAGCACAAATCTGTATTTTGTAATTTGTGCAGGGACAAACTTGAACCAGACGTTTTCAATCCATGAAAATGCAAGGTTCTTCAGTCCGCCTCGTCAACAACATTTCAGTTTCTGAAGTTCAGTGGTTATCTGAATATCCACGAACATAACGCTGTTCGAACAAAGACCACTGGACATTGTGGACGCTACACCCACATGAGGGCATGACCAATAGAGTATGTATCAGGTTCCCGTCTTGCAAACCTTTGAAACGTTAATTTTATTCTTGTCGATCTTCTCCTGATATCTTTCATAGCTGCGCTTTTTGTCTTCCTCTTGTTTTTTCTTGTGTCTTGTAAACTCAGTGTAAAGACGCATGTACACAGCCTTCTGTTCACACCAAATCAGACAGATGCACCATGCCCAACCTTAGATTTGATCAAGCTCCAGGTTCTTCAAATTGGTGACTAAGAAAACAATGATGGAATACAAACACAGATCACCAAAATTAACATCCATGTAAAGAAGTGAGGAAGCCCCGGAGGACTTACTGCCTGTTCTGGGCTCGGCTTTGGAGCATAGGGCTTCGACTTCTCTTTCTCCGGTGCCAGGTTTCCAGATTTGGCTAAGCTGGTCACAGTAGGAGCGATAAGACTGTCTGAAACTTTTTTCTGTAATACATTTGACTTTGGCTTTGCTAAGGTAGGAGACTTCCGACCTTTCTGAAAGTAATTGTTTTCTTTCTCCGAAGCAGCAAACCGGCTTTTGGCAGCACGGTTATTGCAATCACATGACCCAGAGGATTGTTGCTCGCACCGAGAGTCGTGACGCCCTTGGGATGTGGGAACGTCCTTGCGTGGCCAAGTCTCGTCATATGAAGCACACTCATCGTTAGAACAAAATACGATGTCTTTGTCCTCTTTGCTGCATTATTAAGAGATTTACATGTTACACATTCTGTACAAATATGCCCTTAATATTCTGCATCTTATTCTAATTGGCAAGTCTTCACAGCTTAGTGATGATATCACAGTCCAAATGAAATTACAAATGAAAATATCACGCTTATTCCACTTGGTATAACTGTATTAGTCGAACTGTCCATGCTCCTGAATAATGCAATACTACAAATATGTCTGAGACAATGATGTCGAACTTGACAATATGACAAAGAATTTTTTTGCAGACGACCAACACATACCTGATACTAATTATGTTACTAACGATGTGCTCTGTGAGCAGAGCTACAAATTGATCTGGAAGATTATGGTCCTGACAAAATTTTATGGCTACTGCTTCAGCAGAGTCGCCCTCTTTCATTTCAATGTGCTCCACACATCCATCCTCGATTTCCACAGTTATTGCCAACAAAACCCTCCGCTCATCCAATTTATTTTCTGCAATGAAAGGCGAGGCAAATATGAGAAGGATTCTTTACAGTACTGCTATGAAAATCAGAACCTAACATCCACAACCAAGAGGAATTCTTCGTTTTTAGTGAATGTAGGAACCAAATGTTGGTTTATCTCACCCTTGTTCCCCTGGCTACCACCATCCAGAGCCGGTTTGCATTTGAATGCCCCCTTCATATAACCATGCATATTTGCATCGTTAGGAACCGGATGCATGATGCAAGTTTTCAACGTGGGAAAATTTCTTTAAGGTCAGCAATGAAGACAAATGAGTCATGAAAAATAAAAACATGACTTGATTCCTCAAAAACACACCAGGCATTTCGGAGTCCCTCGACTCTTGGCCGATCTGTTTTCTGCATCGTCGCTTTGCATGAGGCAGGTAGGCTTCAAGACATCATTGTCGCATCTTCCCTTGGATTCCTTCAATGTTCTCGACATGGTTAACTCTCCTTAAAGCAATGCACAAGGTTGTCCAACTTTGCCTGTGGCAGTGCTTCGTAGTTCTATGCACGGTGAATAGAGGATGCGTATGGAAAGCCCTCACTGCGGTTCATGAAATACTGCTCTGGAACAATCAACACATAAAGTTATGAAAAACATAACTTGTGAAGTGACCCCTTCTGAAGTTATCTACTCTAAATGACAGCTTTGGTGCATTAGTATGACAACCAGATAAGGCTCCAACTTCACAAGCGAGTAACTCCTATATCAAGATCCCTTGAAAGTAGACGAACCCCGAAGCAAGCAATGTCCCTCCAAGCGTAGGGAGTAGAGACCCCTGGACAGAGAACATCGAGCAAAAGAAATCAAATTGTATCTTCGAATTCACGTCACAAAATCACTAGTTGAAACCATCTCATGTAAAATTTGAAAAGACTGTTTTAAAGCAAAACGAAGAGCATGTAAATTCGTGCTTCGATTTACACTGGAATTTCTAAGATTAATAAACGTTTTATTTTATAACTACATATGAAAGATGGGCAAGTGCAGTAAGGCTTCGGAGATAGGCCCTATTCAGCTCCTTGTTAACGCTGCTTCTACCAAATTACATGCTCCGAAAAATTTGCCATTCAAGAGTTCATGTCATATCTGGATATTCAAAGCTTAAGAAATTATTATCCTGATCGCGGATATTCTCCTTCGTCGTTCAAAATACATGAATTACCTTTGCAATATAAATTGTTCAGTACGCCAGACTTCCCCATATGTCAAAGGAATCAACAATAGCGTTGTGATCTCTCTTTCAGATGCAACAAAACGTAACAGATAATCGTATGCGATCTCCATGATTGCGATACAAAATCTTGCCATTGATGTGAAGAAAGCAGAGACGTCAAGGATAGCAAACAGAACACGTGAATCCAGGACCACCTATTTTTGGGAAAACAGGATTGTTGCAGTGAGATTGTTGCAATAAGAAACTCATATTGTAGCATAGTGCCACATCCGTACCCATGCACAGAAGCTGTAGTAATAGTGATAATTAACTAACCAAGCTTCTGAATTAATTCAACCCCTCAGAATAGACTGAATTGAGATAAGCCTTCAGGTTCGAACTTAGGCCTACGCCTCCAGCGCTAGTCATTGGGTGTTGTACTGAGTCCTTCACCGCGAACGTTCTCTGAAACTTGAATGTAGCACAGCAGCCAAAGAGTTAAAATATGAAGCTACAAACCACTGTTTCTGGACTCTGCTGTTTACCAGGGGGATTGCAAGCGAAGCGCTCACCGTAGGCAGGGAAGGAACCCTCATCAAACCTAGTGGTCTATGCGAAAGAACTCCGGCAATAGACGGAGTGTCTTCTACGTTGAAACAACTCCACGGGGTTGAAGCAAAGCCTGCAGTAATATAAACAGCGAAGGAGGCTAGGTACGCACGTCAACCATAACCATCAACATGCTTCCACGCTGTACTTGTAGAGCACAAATGCATTGTTCAAAACGAATAACTACATCGTCTCAAAATTACATGCAACAGTAACGGAAATACAGCCTACGGAACGAGGAGAGAACATCCTGGACATCGATTACACAAGAAGGGCTTCCGATGAGTAGCTGTCTGAAAATAAAACCGCCACGCAATGCATGCCCCGATGACGAGACGGACACGTCAACAACGTCAAGGCGACGATGGTAAATAGTGCAAATGGACATACGAAGCTACGAAGAGCGGGCAGCTAGGTGAAACTCTGGCACATGCAACACTTTCAGGGCTACGAGGACGTGAAGGCAAAGCGACGGAATGAAGAGAATGGGAGAGGAGAGAAAGGGATGTCCGAAAGACTGATACAGCTGCTTTCTGCGCTCTCCAACAACATGCTCCTCCATTCTGCTTCGTAATTCTGTACGTAGCCGATAGTTCACGTCGGTGATGTTCAAGGATCAGGGGCCGCCCAAAGGATGCCAGCTACTACTATCTTCTTATCCTGTTTTATATCCCATTCTTACTTGACACAAGAACACATTTTCACACGACAGAGGTAGAGTATGTGGAGTTTGATCAACTGTTGGCGCTTATTGCCCTCCTCAAACACTGTTAGCTTCAACGAGAAAAACGTCGACCTAACCTCAATCAACAGGACATCGGTATATGATGGCACGGAGCTGTCACGTTCTTTGCCATGGCATGTTTTCTACCTGAATTCCCCCATCACAAAATAACCGTACCAAAAGTGATTTTACTAGTTTAGCTGGAAAATTACGGTGTTATATGTAATACCAAAATGGTGGGTACATCGTATTACATGTCAAGTATATTATACAAGTCAGTACAAACAATACGACAAAACAAGGGTTTCGATTTTCTGGCATCGGAGTTTTCTCTGCACTTCATTGAAAGTCCTCAAAACAATAGATTGAATAAAATAGTGTAATGATCAGTAGCTAACCGTAGATTCTGTTTTAAACAGAGTCTCACAAGGAGGAAGAGTGTAAATTGACTAAATAACCTTTGAGATTTAGAAAAACAAATTCAGGAATCAATGACATAGACGTCTCTTCCAGACACCTGGACTAAGCACACGCCAAAATCTTCAGAAATTTACGTAGAATACGAAAACAATCGAATCAGTAAGTTACTCTAGATACCGAATTTTACTAACCGTTTCGAAACGAAGAAAGAATATCTTGCCACATTTCTTCACATAAAGCAATTATTACTTTTCTGCCCCTGGAAGAACACGGCTGACGTCAAGGCAATGCACTGTTCGACCAAAGCAGTTGTAATCCCACCCGTCCAGTTGAGCTCCAGCAACAAATCGCTTACGCATGAGCCTAGGAGCGGCAACGAATGGATTCGGAGAGCCTTGTCCGTTATTCAGAACGCTTTGAACAGCCAACTTGAAGTTCTGGCTCGTATGCTACAATCATAAAGTCGGCAGCTCTTCATCTCTAAAGACATAGACTTACTCCCAACTGTGTGCAGTGCAGCATTCAGTTTGCGAACATCTGTTGACGTAGACAGATCTCACAGAAGAGCGCTCCATGGTTTCGCTTAAAGAATACTGTAGCACGTCACACTCGTAAAACTCGATTGGAGCTCAGGTCATAAACATTTTCCTCTCCAGCTAAAGTTGAATGCAGCCGGCCACCTGCCCAACCATTGTTCATTGCTGCTTTCTTTGCCGCTTCCCCAATAACTCGTGTGCCGTCAGGATTCTGATCCTCGAACTCAGGGAGCCCATTCGCCAGTCTCTCCTTTCGTATTCTCCTCTGTTCCTCAATTTCTTTCCGAAGCCACCTTTCAACAGTCCTCTGTAATTGCGTAGCAAGGATGAGTTACAATGTGGCAGGTCACTGATAGAGCGCAACAGCCTGACACACAGAGTCTTCGCTCTTGCGCACAAACATTAAGGACAGTAACAGAGAGCACATTCCAGATGCTGAAATGTGGGTTATACTCTCAATTTTGTGATCCTAGTTAACAAGTCGCAGGATACTATTAGCAATGCAGACACGTACCATCAAGGAAAGCTCCTTCATTTCCGCAATTTCTCCAATCGGCTTGGCGAATCGCAACGTCCCTTTGGACACGTAAGCCTGAACACAAGATTGCCTTAGATACGGATGTGCTCGTCAGATCTAGGGTTACAACATCACAGAAAACAAATTTCTGAAGAGAAGACTGACCATGTGCGTAGGCCAGGACTCAAGTCCATCAAAAATATGAGTGGCATAGATGATAGTGGCCCCTCTTTCTTCGCATTCAGATCTAAGGAATCCCATCAGATCGGCACGTGCCAACACATCTAGATCGACTGTTATCTCGTCCAGAAGCAACACCTGCACGAAAGAGGACATCGTTTGGAGCTTCAACGAAAGGATTGCATTAACTCCTTCATTATACAACAGCTGTACAGTGTCAAAATCATTTGGGCATGTAGTAACCATGAGCGACAACGAGTGCAGCGTAATTGAAGCGGGGATCACAGATGAGCATCTCTCAATCCGTTAAATGTAGAGTGTGTGACCAAAGTACAATTGAATAAAAATGGAGAACTACCTGATACGGGCGTAACAAACCCATGCAGATTTGGACTCTTCGCCTTTGGCCATCGGAGACTTTGTGCATACGCCACTTCAAGTCAATATCAAGGACCTGATAATTATTTTTACAAATATCAATGTTACTGGGCATGATGCAATCAAATCAGGGTCAATTTTACTCAACTCGTAGTTTTCCATATTTCGCTATCTTTAACACATCGAAAAGTTCCTTACTGATCTACGTGTCTAACCCTAGTAAAACTTTAACTGTATCTTATTCCGTAGCGATCGAGTTGGGCGCTGACCCTCCAACCTGAGAGGGTTAAGAGCTTACACCTAAACTTTGTGCGAAAAAGAGAAATAGGGCTTTAAGTGATTATAAAAAGTCATGCTCAGCACCATTCTGAAAATTTTGAAGATACATGCTTCCTGTTTAAAAGGATACCTTGATCAAACGATCTCGTCTTTCTGCATCGACGCCTTGTAGTCCGAAGATCATTTTCTCAGCAGGAATGTCCATCTGCAGAGGGACATCGAAGCCTGCGAATGCTACATCTCGTCTCCACTGCACAATCAGAGAAAGAATACAAACCGTAACCGTAAATCTATTTGTACTAATTGAAGGTAATCCAGGATAGAATAAGCAAAAGGAGGAATAAAATACTAATGTTTATCAACCCAGTGTGAATTTGAAAAATGGTATTTAGAAACTCAATCAGACTGCGATGTAATTCTTCCCAAAATAAGAATCACTAAGGGTAACAACCTCTCCACCAAGATAAGCTAGGGCACCACTCGATGTCAGGGCGGTATCATGGAAGGCCGATCGACCTAAAACTCGCACCATGTCGGGGTCCACCATGTGCTTGCCGCCCAAGATCTTTAGAAGAGTTGTCTTGCCTACACATTCATGAGCACATCCAACCACAATGAGAATCAATGAACACAGAGAAGCAGAAGTGATTCATACTCATCAGCGAAGCATTGTCGATAGACGCCTTCTGACTGCGGGAAAGGACCCTTGGCGATCATTAGACCTTTGCTCTTTTTCCACATGCCCATTGGTGCTACTCCGATACCATTTTCTGAGAACCAAACTATCACGAGTAAACCCTCACGAACAAAATGAAATCAATTGCGAAGACATTATTTCATGCACGCTCTTCTTTTCTGTTTTAGAACATCTGACAGCCACGGTGTGCTCATAACCAGCAGTGTGAAATACATTGACTCATGATCAGACGTGTAATTGCTTGGAGGTTTTTCAGCCAAGGGCATCACAAGGAACCATCTATACACACAGCATAATAGATCAAACGACAAAAGTTCTGTGGCCGTGATATCGCATTCTCAGATGCGTAAGTTGCGATGGGAGGAAAATATGGTGTACACTATAAACCCTGGAGTCCAACATAAAAAAAAATAAAATAAAAGAAAAAAGAAAAAAGAAAAAGCTCCTAGCAAAATCATGCTCCTGACACGAGTTCAGCTCCTCAACATAATAAATAATAAATAAATAAATAAAACGGTCATAATTAAGAAGAATGCGATACTCTGCACAGGAATCTCTCGCGGGAATTCCAACTTCGCAAACCAACACAGGGGCCGATTATGAAAATTCCAAATCCATCGAGAATCACAGCCTCGTCACCTCGGAGGCGCTGGTTCGAGAGAAAAAGGAGGGGGGAATGACATGAGGAGGAGGATAAAGAAGCGTAGTGGCTAACCAGCTCCATTGGCGCCCACGAGGAGGCACCGGTCCCCAGCGTGCAACGTGAGGGAGAAGTCTTGGATGAGAGGCTTGGCGCCAGGAGGGGGAGCTCCATCGATGCCAGGATACGTGAACTTGAGGCGGTTGATGTGCACAATAACAGGCTTCGCAACATCCTGTCCCTGGGCTGCCATGAGAATGCACACAGGCCGAGAGGACAGAGCGCGAGTGGAGGAGCCGAGAGGGACGACGACGCAAGAAGAGGCTACTACTACTTCTGCTGCTGCTGATGCTGCGCTGCGGAGAGGAATCGAAGGGGAGGCGTGGGGAATAGAAACCAGAGGGGAATATGATAGATAGCCAACTGCTGAGCACAAGAGCGAAGGCGGGGCAGAAGAGCGAGGGAAAGGGGGACGTGGAGTGGGAGCTGGAGTGGGGTCTGTGGGACGTGGTGAGGCTGGGGCCACGACCCCCCCCCCCCCCTTGCCGTCTTTCCCTCTTTCCCTCGTTCCCTCTTTCTTTCCCTCTTTCTTTCTTTCCCTCTTTCTTTCTTTCCCTCTTTCTTTCTTTCTTTCTTTCCCTCTTTCTTTCCCTCTTTCTTTCCCTCTTTCTTTCTTTCCCTCTTTCTTTCTTTCTTATTATTTATTTCTTTGAGAATAATTATTAATGAAGATCAGATAGAACTTTGCCAATTTAAAAGAATATTGAACATCATATATCAATTGTAAAAAATTTAACTTTTTTATAATCTTAATCTTCTTTGAATCCATCATTAAGCCTTTATTTGATATAATATAGCCAAGAAACTCTACTTATGACTCATGAAATATGCATTTCACCAATTTGATAATTAATCTATTATTTGATAACTTTTATAAAAAAATAGATATATTATTTATATTTTTTTAGAATCTTAGAATAAATTAGGATATTTTTGAAATATCATATAATAAATTCATGAAGGAATTCACAAAATAAATTATTCATCAAATATTAAAAAATAGTTGGCACATTTGTAAAACTAAAAGAAATGAGATTCTACTTGAAATACAAATATCTTCTATAAAAAGTGATATTTTATTTATTTTTTCTTTTTTGTTATGTGTACTAGATTATAGGCTCCACATACATCTATTTTGATGTAGATCTTAGCTTAATCCAATTGATCAAGAAGGTCAAATATTAATAGTATAAGATAACAATTTTTATTATTATTACTTTGTTGAGACTGCAATAGTTGATCTATATCTACAAAGTTCTATATTTTTTCTTCATGAAGAATATAAATACACTTATAAGAGATTTGAAATGTTAAATAAAGCTTTTTTCTAATTTTTATTAATATAATCTTTCAAACTCTTAAGCTTATTTTGTGATAAGTTATAAATTGGACTAAAATGTGATTATATATCATCTTAAAGATAAATAGCACAATCATATGAATAATGTTTTGGCAAGATATTTTTATTTTTTTTAATAAAACTTAAAATTATTTTTATTCCTTTAGAAGGATTATTGGAGTACTTGTTACTTTAGATGTAGAAGTTACATAAACAATAAAAGAAGCATCATTCTTAGTTGCTCTTATAAATGCTCTTGCTCTAATCTAATGAAACTTTATAATTTTTAATCTAAAAATTGTATAGAATTTTCAATCAAGTTTAGTGATAATAAGTTGTGGTATTTTAGAAAATTTTATTTTGCAAGATTTTTAATTCATATAAGGATTATATATTTTCATCCAAAACAAATTTAAAATAATGGAACTAGACAAAGATCTAATGATATTAAATACAACTTGACTACTATGATTCTCTAATACTATTTCTAATCGATTAGTTTTATGAGTAGGATATCTAGAAAATAAGAATCAATTATCTATGACTTATATATGGACGGCCTTAGATTTCTTAACTATAAGAATTTTAAGAATTTTTAAAAATTCTAAGTTAGTAAATCAAGCAAAGACTCTTAAATTTATTAAATCAAGAGTTTTGAATTTTTGTGCATCCAAATATATTGGTATGATAAAGTAACAAGAAAGATTAGATGATAATAAGAGATTTTTTTTAATTTAGAGAGAAGAATCCAATCATATAGTCCTTATTGTATCTGGACATCTATAATTTTTTTCAAAGCATTTGATGATGTAATTTTATTCTTCATCCAATATGTATATTAATGCTTTTTGTGGCAATTATCAATTTTTTGGCCAATTTCTCTACAACACAAAAATAAGTTGTATTTTCTTCAAATTTTTTTTTTTGCTCAAAAAAAAATTTATAGTAAACTTTATCAATTTACATATCTTCTACTTTCAAATGTTTCTACAATTAGAAAATATAGAAGATTCTAAATAAAATTTAGCATAAAAAATAGATGTTTATCTTTCCAAGGTTAGAAAAACCAATTATTGTCCTTCACATCTTGATTAATGGCTTTATTGAGTGATTGAAGATCAAATATAGATAAGAATAAGTTCTTCATATTATCTTGGAATCCCAAATGAAATTTGTTTGTTAATGCTTCATCTTCTAAGTTTATATTATATACTAATTGTCAAAACTTTGTGGCATAAACATATTTATTGGTAAAGACTTTGAATCTTGGTTGTTGCAAAATAAATCTTAACATGTTCACCAAATGCTTCTTCAAATGCCACCAAAAATGTCTCAAAGTTATGTAATATGGAAGAATTCTTCTCAAAAAATGGAACAAATGTAGATAAAACTTGACTTGATAGCAGAATTTGAAATAATCCAATATAAGATATATTTATGGAATATTGCTCAAGATGGAGTAAAGTAATAAGTTTTATTAAATTCATGAAGCCATGAAACTTTAAAGAAGTTCTATTAATCTTCTATGAGAGACTAATTCTTAATTCTTTTGCAACTGAAGTTGAATTGTTGACTGTAATACATACATTTTTTAGTAAAATAGACTTTAATAATGGAGTTCTTAAGATAAATTGTGGTTTTGGATAAGGTGGCTCTAAGCTTAGACCATTATGTATGGTCATAAATATTTCTTTATTTTGCTTGGACAATGACTTTGACTTAACTCTCAATGTATTAAGAGCATTTATAATCAAATCTAATTTTGCTTCTTTAGAATTTTTTGTACTAAATTCCTTACATTTTTTCATAAAATGAAATAAGAAGAAATAAATATAAGAAAAAAAGAATAATATTGGTCTAAAAGAAGGTAATCTATAATCTCTAGAATTCTATAATACTTTCAAAAAAAAGAGTAATTTTCTTTTTATCCAAAAATATCAAATTCTAATATTGTATTACATTGATTTTAAAAATTTATTACAAATACACTATTCAAGTAGGACTAGACTTCAAGAGCTTAAAAAAATAAAAGAAAAGATATTTACTTTATACTAAAAACAAAGAGCTAAAATAAGATACAAAATTAAGATCAAGAGGTTTAAGCTTAGCTATACGGATTATATTGTCAAAACTACAATTTTCTTACATGAATTAAATGCAAGGAATCTCTTTGAAAAGTTTTTTTAATATTTAGAGGTGAAAAAAGCCTCCAATAACCTTCAACTACCATCTAAGATGTCTTGGAACCTTCTAGCATCTTTCAAAAGCTTCTTAGAATCTATTAGAACTTATTAAGGACTTCTTGGAATCATCAAGAATCTTTTAGAATCTTCTAAGGCCTAATAGAATCTTTTCTAATCTGATAGAATTTTCTTCTATTATGTGTATGTTCAAAATTTAACTATCTAATAGAATGAGAAAGACCTAGAAGAAGAAGTTAATAAAACAAATCAGAGAAGAAGGTTTGTAATTTGCAAGATCAAGGTTCGACACAAAATATTATCATTATAAGAAAAAAACCTAATATATTCAAAGTCTCTCTCTCTCTCTCTCTCTCTCTCTATATATATATATATATATATATATATTTATTTATTTATTTAAAGCTTTGTTTCAAAAAAATCTAACAAAAGATGCTTTCTCTTGATCTAGTCCATTGACCTATCATTAAAGCTGCTATAGAGAGACATAATGCCCTTTTTAATCCTCCATCCTCTCTTCCTCTTTTCTTATATTTATTGCAAATATCAATTAGACTCTAGATAATAACAATGTCTATGACAATAAAAACATTCAAATTAAGAAGGCATAGCTTTAATAAAAATAATCTATTTCTAAATGAAGGACTTTGATAGTCTCTAAAACCAAAATCATGATGTTAATTTCTATAGAAGAGAGGTATTGCAATCTTAAATATTACAAGTCTAATATTATTCTAAGAATCTACAAAAGATAGATTCTAGCTATTAGAAAAGACACAAGGCACAATAGATATCAACATGAGGGTTGAGTTTTTCCTTCCAAGTGTTAACCACCATACTATTCTCTTGCATAGATCAAATAATATAACTTCTTTAGGAGAAGAGGAGTTGAACCAAAAATCATTCCAATTAAACAACAAATCTATATTTAGTAGAGAACTTTATTTGTATCCTATTAAATTGGTCATAGAGGTTTCACTTTAAAGTAACTTGTTGCAAAGTTTTACAAAATGATTAGTAAATTCTTCAATGGTAACCTAAAATTTTGATAGAAGTTTAAAGATCAATATACTAACTAGACCTTACAAGAAGTCATTGCCAATTGTTTTTGTTGTTGGCTTTGTTTTTGGAACTACTTTAGTATATTTTTAAAAGATATGTCTCTTAATATTTATTGTCAATCACGTTGTTGTGATCATATTTAAGAGAAGAAATTTCATAGAAGTGGAGAGTACTTAATTGAATGCCAACTTTAAAAAAATATAGTTTAATAGATTGATGCAAGACAAACCATTCTTTTTTTTTTTTCCTTTTTTTTTTTTTTTTTTTTTTTTTTTTTCTTCAACACCTTTGTATCAAGTAGGAAATTGGAATAGCACTTTTTGTAAATGATTTGTTACAAACCTGTATAAGCTAATTCAATTGTAGAGTTTTGATAGAATATTATCATAGTATATTTAGTATTTTTAGAAACTAAAAAAAAATTAATCTAAAAGAAGTTCCAAAGAGAACTACAATAAAGCAAATTTTAATATGTAGATATTACTTCTTCTGTAGCAAGAGGAATAATTGGATCTTTATAAATATTTTTGACAAAATGAAGACCATTAGACTATAAGATTGCAACCTGATAAGATTTTAAATAAATATCAATTAATAGAAATTAAAAATCCTCCCATAATAAATAATTTCAAATATCACAAAATGAAGTAGAGGCTTAAACCAAAAGTACCTGCACATTTGTGTTCACAATTTTCCAATTTTGTTCCAAGTTACAACCCAATTTTGAGGTCTAGTTTCTAAATCCCATAAGCAGTTGGTTTTATGTATTTGCATGAACAGCAAAAGAAGCTTGTTGTAAGATACGAGTTGCAAATCCACAACATATTTTGTGACTAGATTCAAGAATCTTCACCATTTTTTAACATACTATTTGATTGGCGTTTTTGCTTCTGTTTTTGTTCAAATGCTTTCACAGTAAAATGCAAAACTAGAAGCAGGGAGAAAATAAAAACAAAAACTGATGTGAACAGCTTATTACATATAGTTGCAGCTACCGAACATTGTAGGGACTTGGTTAAAATTCTTAACCAAATTTTACAAAAATCAGAAGTACACAAAACGTGTAGAATATGAAAGGCAAATGCAAATAGAATGTCTAAGAATGTTGGAAAATCAGAGTGCGCAAAACTAAAAAAAAATAAAGACTAAAAACATCCTGCCGAGACAAAGAGGGAACTCTTGTGTTGAATGAACTTACGACTTTTTTTTTTTTTTTTTTTTTTTTTTTATTACAAAAGCATTGAAAACATATATCTTTACAAAAAAATCATGAGAATTAGATGTATATCTAGTTCGAATGGTGATGATGGCCTACAAATAAGAACATTGAATCAAGTTAGTTCACTGTAATTCAACAACACAAAAACATTTCAAAAAAACACGCATACGCTAAAGATAACAATTGTTAAAATCCTTAGAAAAAAAAAACACGCATAGAATTGTCTTTAGTACACCATAGCAACGTACAATGTATCAAAGCAGGAGGTAATAAATGATCCCAGTTTCAAATGAGTTTTGCAATTCGAGATCCTAGTGTAAGCTAACATAGAGTACACAGCCAAGCTGTTTAGAATCAATCAGGACATTGTAATCAACAACACACCAACAGTGCAAGTGTCACCCATTATTGAAACTGAAGACGAACAATGCCCTGACCTTCTTGCTTCACACGTTATTCAGAATCCAAGAGGCTGAAGGAGGAGCAGGAGTGGTGTCGGTAGGACGGGGAAGTGTCGGTGGGGCTAGACAATGATGTAGACCTGGTCGCCCTCCGAAACGAGACAGTGCTTGGGGGGGTTGGTGAATACGTAGCCAGCCGGTGCCCCCAATGTCCCTGGAGCCCGATACAAGCCCAGCGCCAGCGCGCCTTTGTCGTGCAGCAAGCTCACAAACAGGTCGCCGTATGGTTTACCGACACTGTGCTGGGCCACGGGGACCAAGTTCAGGATGCGCAGGGTTTTGTTGCCCATGGTGCCCTCGCGGAGCGTGTGGCCGCCCCCGATCAGCTGCTCCACGATGGACAGCGTGTTCTTGTTGTAGAATGACGATCGTCTGTAAGGTCACAACTCACCTCGATGAGGTCTAGACACTAGGGGGTGGAAGCCTATTAACGGAGAGGTCCATGCAGCGTTGCTACGAGGACGTGCGAAGAAAGATTGGACGAGGAATCGAGTAATTGTTCGAAATGCACTTACAGAAGGAACCCCATTAACGCAGGAGAGACTGCCTTGCCCTCCATGAATGGAGGCCCGAAGTGCACCAGAGCCTCCGGGTTGCGACGATAATCTACCTTCTTCACATGCTCCTTCTGAACCTCGAACTTGGGCCGCAGGTAATGTAGTGCGAAAGTGTGCTGCATGTCGATGATCATCACTCCCGCATCCACTCCCACAAGCCTGTCCACATTTGCTGCGATCACAATGTTGTCCACATCGCTTCTTTGTGCTGATGGAACTCTGCGGTGTGCCAAGTCCTCTACGCCTTTTACGCTTAGATCCACCAGTGTATCGTGACAGCCAAGAATCACCACCCTCTCTGCAATGACAGACAAAGAGGATTCTCTTCAGGAACTCGTGTTGCCTTGCAGTGGCGTTCTGTTAACTATATGTGTGTGTACATGCGAGATTCAGCTTGAGAACTTGACCAAGAGTTACATTGGAGGAACTTCAAACCATTGTATGATACAAGGATAGGAATGCTTGGCGGATAATCTTGCACCTGCGTGCAGAACGCCTCCTCGCATAAGGTCAAGCTCGTACATAGGAGACCCTTTACAAAAGAAAACATCTTCAAAAATGCCCACCTTGCCCCATTCTATGGCGCTGGGCCGGTCCGGGTACAAAATGACGATGGGTGGTTTTGGCATGTCGGGCTTTCGCAATTCTTTCACTAAGTAAAACATTTCCTGGGGCCAATCATTCTGGCAACACACCAAAATGTGGGGTGCATTTAGAGAGACCACCCCAACAGTCCGTGCTTGGAGATTCTCCAAGATGACGTCTTGCCGTCTCTCCAACACTGATGCATGAGGCTGCACTTGGTTTGGTCCTATCGGTGGCCACGCTAACAGCAAATCTGTGGCTTTCTCTAATGACACTCCACGAGGATAAAGTCCTTCGTCTTCAGAATCACTGTCAGATAACGAAACAGAGTCATGGCGTCTTGAAACATCACGCGTCCCATTTGAAAACTTGCTCCCGTAACCTACATCACCATTATAGATGCACAAGTATCAGGCTCCGGCTGAAAAGCACCTATGCAACAGTCTGTCAATCACGAGAATCGCATGAGTCACGACAATACTAAAAGAATGATTTACTTTAATTCCATTTCTCGAAATATGAATCACCTGCTTCAATACTATCCTCAATAGCATGCTTGCTTTCTCGATCAGTGCCATGTCTGCCTCCATTTCCATGCTTGCTTCCTCGATTGGTGCCTTGTCGGCTTCCGTCATTTCCATGCTTGCGTCCATGACTGGAGCCGTGTCTGCTTTCGTCACTTTCATACCAGCTAAATATTTCCGTCTTCATTCGTGATTCTAAAGACTCTGAATCAACTGCAGTGTAGGATATGGGGTCAGTGGCGCGGCTCTGCTCAACTTCATCTACAACAGGTCCTGTCCGATAATTTTGCAGCTGTACTGAGGAAAAGTTCCGTTTCTTCCTTGGAATCCATTTCTTCCCCTTCGATTTTTTGTCATCGAATCCCGACACATCAAAAACAGTGCCCAAATCCGGGCATAGGAGTAAACCCACGTCGTCCGCAATAATGACACGTCCCTTCGGATGAAGAAAAACCTGTCGTCAAAGCAGAAAACAGCAGAACTTCATCACTTGCTACACCTCCTGAACAAGTGATGAACACTTTCCAGCACTTATATTCAAGTGGTTGTTAGACTACATCAGGTGTATTACCTTACGGGCGGGTTGCTCTTTTTCTGGGTCAATCACATTCACATCAAGAGCGAAAAGTACAGCATTGAAATTCTCAAAGATAAACTCCACCACCTGTTGGCAATGCATGATTGCGCGCATCAGATGCACGCACACTTTGTTGAACAAAATGAAAAGTACTAGTACAAATCACCTGAAATACAAGAGAAAGACTATCGAAACATCACTGATACCAGAAGAAGGGATATCAGAGAAAGCAATGATAACGACATACCTCTTCGTAGAGCATGCCATGACAAGCTTTTGGGAAGATGAGAGGGTACACCTCATTATCAAAACTGCTAAAATATTCTGACAAAAATGAATTCCGAGGCAAGGTTTTCATCTTGATCTCGGAAGTGAACATGTTTGTTATGAGCGTGTACAACCCTTTCACAAAGCAACTGCAACCACACCCAACCACCAAAATAACTTTTAGAAATTACACGAGCTTGTGCAATTGCAAGTAAGAGGTCTGCGCAACTTCAGTGAACAGATCGTATATACATGGCTAATAGATGGTATAGTACCTGCGAGCGATCATCCTGTAGTGGAATTTTATTGGGCAGATAACCTCAATTCCTCGATTATCTGTCAAATCCCACACAGCACTTGCTTGGGTCGCTGGCTCCAACACTTCCACAATTATGCGAACGTGGTCGTTGCAATACCGCTGAATTGCAAGTGCTTTCACGATCTGCGCTGCATCCTCTACACCGCGATCCTGCCACATAAAATTGACACTCAGTACTGATTTTTTGCAGATCAAGCTTAGCATACAGCTGGTACTCATAACTTCTAGACTAGCCGTTCTTAACCGTTTCTTAAGATGAGCCAGCCGTTGAAGACATTGAGTTCCACTCGTCTTAAGCATCTTCTGTATGGTGTGACATACAAACGAACAACCAACTTTAGAAAGACAGTTGAAGGAGTGCCTTAGCATCATTTTTAGCCAGAAGAAAAATGGCGGAGGCACGTTCCGCGCACACTCTAGCTAAGTCTGATTGTCGAATAGGAGATCCCTCGATAAACTCCACAAGTCCATTATAAAGAGACAGTAATTGCTTCAGCTCGAACCTGCCAAGGTCAAGACACTTACTCACACATCTTTCATATGAAGCATCGCCGGATTTTAAAAACCATATAAAGTAACAAGTTAAAAAGTTACCTATGATCTTCAACAGAATATGATGACATGGAAATCTGAAGAGAAGGCCACTTACGAGGGCGAGAAAGGTGCCAAGATGTTCACTCGTAGTGGATATATCTCCAAATCTGCAGAAGAAAAAACCATTCAGGTCAGCACGGTAGTTTCTTTACATTTAATGAGGGTATATGCAAAAAAAATTCCATGATCCAGACGTTGTTATTAAGGCACCTTTAATGAGCGACAAATGATAAGCTGAGTTCAATCGTCTCTGTACCTTCACAATGAGTAGGATTGTAGAATTCTGCCAGATATTCTTGGAGTTCTTGGAATGTGAAACTTCCAGTGATGACTAAAAACCGTGATTCGAGGATCTTCTTTGAGTCGAAAGATCCTCCATACGGTCTGCTCAGAGAGCAAACACAAAGTCACTCCATCACTTCATAGGATCAAACTCTGCCAACCATGGCTTGGAATGCAAAGCAGTAGAAAAAGCTGCGAGTCAAAGTAATCCAAGTCGTCACGAACATGGAGACGCATACAGCCCAATTGATTCACAACTTTCAGACATACCTTCGAGAAGCAAGAAAAGTAATACGTCCAATCTGAATTGGAAGAATGACCAAGGCTCCGATTATTGTTAAAATGGCCACTAGTCGTCCAAGTGCCGTTTCTGGAGTTATATCCCCATATCCAACTGTAGATATCTGTATAAAAGATAACAAGGCAATTTTCACTGATCAACAAGGCGATCTATAAAAACAAGGCGTTTCAGATAAAAGGAAGAAACCGTTGGGAAAAAGTGACGTCACATTCTCTTTCTCTAAATTGTATTCATGTCAGGGCAGATGAGTGACTAACACTACTTCATCCTAGAAAACATTTAACACAAAACACATGGCAGTAGAAACTGATTTAAAATGATCCCCCGTCTTCTAATATCTTTTACTAACGAAATCACTTGCGCAGATGATGGGAGGGAATGAAACACTAAACATAAAAATGTCAGCGCACGTCGTTCGTCCCAAGTCAACTCATCCAATCACAGGTGAAAGTTTTGTTGAGTACTCAATTTCACATGGTAACATATCGGAGGTTTCATTACTCATTATTAGATGTGAGTTCCAAAATTGACGTACAGTGACAATAACGAAGTAAAATGCATCCCAAAAATTGATGCATCCCTCTTCAGGGCACTCGGCTTGCCGACTTTGCGGTGCTCCGTGGTATTCCACATAATGTATCAGACCCGCAATTAAAAATACTGCATCATTTCCAAATCATCATCTTCTTAAAACTTCAAGTCAAGACTTCAATCTTACATTCTTACAGGGCACATATCCTACATTATTGAAATCCAACACAATTGATCAGACGCATTTTTGGCATCTTCCTCTTACAATCACTTCTAGAATCCAAGTCAAAATGAGCAAGGGAAACCCTGTAGTTGCACCACCGAACATAGGTTCCTTTGAATTTCCTTAAAGAAGAGATAGAAAGGGCTCTTCACAATGACTGAAACTGGTGAGGGGCACTTGTATAGTACGTTTACACCGAATAGAAACAATAAGTCTTATTTTCAACTGATTGAATTCCCAATGTAGCATCACCAGTAGAGGATCTTTACCAGCTCCAAATGTTGAAGTAATCAGTACGAGGACCTGTTGTAAGATAGTACTTCCGAAAACTCCTATTTTGTTTACCAGCGATATTATCCTGCACAAGAGTGGAAAAGAAGCTGGCATTAGTCTAGACTCAACTGTGGAACAGACAAATAAGAGACTACGGTATTGCTGGCCAGGCTTGCCTTGGCAACATAATTCGTGATTACCTTACAATACGTAAAAACTGCAGCAACCGAAGAAACCTTCCATTAGTTTCCACGGACCTGTAAAAAATAAAAATAAAAGAAAAGACCAGAAGCTGTTAAAAAGGAAAAAGAAATTGCCGAAAGAAATTTGTAAAGGTTGCAAAACGGATCAACGAAGATCCGAAAGGAAATACGAAGATATTTTGTATGATAAGGGACAGTTCAATCGTTGCTCGCAGACCGTATTTAGTTGAAACCAACATAAACAGATGAGGGAATACCGCAAGCTGATTTAACTCATGTATTCAGCTCATCAAACTTCGATGCGATGAGTCGGAGATCTATGCGAGATGCTTGAAATAGCACTTCCGTCAAAGAGAATGACAGGTTCAGGACAAAAGTTTGGAGCGATCACTCAGGTCCATACCTAATAAAATACACGACGGGGACTGCACTGAGTATGTCGATCAGACCCCGGAGAGAAAATACATAACACCAACGCGCCGATTCACTGCAAACAAGAAGTCACGATCCAGGCAGCTCAGTGCATGCTTTGGGAATACTGACCAGGCTCACAAGCAGAATCCAATTTCCATTGTCCTGTTCGCCGAGCGTGTACTTTCGTTAAAAGTATCGGGGCTTATACCCACTGAAGAGATTGCCTCATAACCCAAAAACTTTAGAGAAAAACCTTGAGAGCAATGTTCAAAACGCACCCTAATAGGTCATGTCCACAAACACACATTGCGGCATTTAATACCTGTACACTCGCAGTGCGTAGTCAATGGCGAAAAAAAGACTTATGTAGTTCTGGGCTACGCTAGCCCAATTGTATTTAGTATAGTCTTTGTACCTGCATCGACACACAATGCAAATCAATTCCACTCAATGTTGTGGTGGTGCTCAGCAGATGAAAACATCATCCACTTCACTGCTAATTCCCGTCATACAAGTGTTGTTTCCACGAACTGATAATAGATCCTGTTTTGCAAGAGGCAGATAAACCAGAAACCCTTCCCTTCCATCAACAATTTACAGAATTCATCACAAACGCGAACATAGCTTGCTCAACGCAGCCCATTCAACTTACGTGGAATAGACGTACAAAACACCTGAAGCAGTAGCTAGGAAAAACTCCAGCTGCATCATCAACCATGGGAAAAAAGTATAAATAAAGAAAAAAACGCTCGGGCAACTGTAACCACACGCAAACCAACATCTATATTGCCGATTTCTCAAAATGCAGATGACGACTGCGGCAAAGCTGAGCATTGCTGCTCACACATTTTTCAACTTGCATACGAAGTAGCTAATCGAGTACGTACCAAGTGCCATATGAAGCCTATCCAGCCAGAGCGAATTGCTCCTCGGACTCTGACAGTTAGGTCCACTTTGCCGTACAAAAAAGATTCATGGTAAGTCTCTAAGACAGGCTTGCTCGCTTCAATCCTCTTCGACCGATTTCGGCTATTCAAAAGGGCGAACAACGTCGCCATCTTGAATTCGTCTGCACAGGAATCTGGAACGGCCAGAGTACTTTCAACGATGATGAGCCGTTCAAAGCACCTGCAGATGAACGATCCCCAATATGTTTTGCTTCTTGCTAAAAAATATCGTCATTCCGACTTCCAGGCGTCCACTTGCATTCCCACCTGCCCTTCTTGCAGGCAGTCCCAATGCACGAAACTCCCACCGATGCAAACATCATAACGTCCAGCTCTCGTGACTGCATTCCACAGAGGGAATTTGAGAATCCAGCCGGCAGACGAACACACACCTTACATCTAGAGCTAATTGTAACTTACAGAAGATCAACAGTCTGACGGGGGTGGTTGAGCCTTCCTGAACGCGAAAGTGATTGATTGAACCGCTGTTGCTAGTGTTACAGCAGCTGGATCTTAGCAAGGGATACAAACACGATGAAGTAAAGAAACCCAACTCTCCAGGCTTAAATCAAACGACCTTGTGCGTTAGCACAAAGAGGTTATGACGGGTGCCCAAACGAAAATTCGCCACAGGATCCTACATTCTCCAGGGAAATGGGTCCCAATAGCAACCATTGAGCATTGAAATCATCCACTCCCAGATCGCAACCTCTCTCGCTCTATCACAATCAACACACACACCAAATTCCTCCCGTAGCCTTATACATCCTGGCCAGAGAATACTGGAACACGAATCTACGAAAGAATAGAATTCACAAAAAATCTAACTTTCTCCTCCGATCAGTTCTTCGCAGGGCCAACCCAATCCACTACCTCATAAACTCTTACCAAAAAAAAAACGAAAGAAAAAAAAAAAAAAAAAAAAAAAACGGCGACAACAAAGGCAATGAGATAAAAAAAAAACCAGGGCAAGCCAACATATCTGAAGAAACCACTACCGTAAAGCTACTCTCCCACTGCATGTTAAGCTAAGTTATCAGCTCCGCAACTCTAACCGCGGACAGCTCACACATGGAAACCGACCTCCAATTCCACGTCCCGCAGCCACAAAGCTGTTTCATAGTTGCTTAAGGTCAAGGTTCGGCTATCCTGCAGGGATCTTCACGTCACCGGAGTGCACCAGATCCCAAGGCCTCCGTGTGTAAGCAGGCGTGTGGCTGCGAGCGAATATACACAGTCCAAAATTGGACCCAGTTGCAGACTACACAAAGACGAGCGACTCGTGAAGACAAAAGGGCCAACATAACGATCCTGGCGAGCAACACTCTTCTTCCTGACGAGAAAAACCGGGCAACTGGATCAACTACGGCATGGAAACCCAACCAGAACAGCACAACGCAACAACGAAAGCCAGTCTGGACAGAGTGAGTTGTTCACTCTAGGGCGACGAAAATAGCCGTCGTGACGAACACAGCGGCGGTGGGGAACAGCGGTTGCCCTCTCCCGCACCGGCACAAACAAGAAACCCCCTCTCGCATTGCTCGCTCGACATCGTCGCCATCGTCGCCATCGCTAATAAACCTGCTTTCGGATTCGCTGCGTCGCCGCTCGGTCGTCCGCGGGAGTCCAGCCTAACGCTCCACCATGAGTCGATCCTGTAACCTCCCTACTTACCTTCCATCCTCCATCCCTACTGACCTGCCTACCTACCTACCTACCTCCCTTCCACTTTTCCCGCCTTCCTGCCTGTCACGGCACCCATTCCCGCGGAGGGAGGTCTTGTGGCGCCAAGTGTCCCTGCCACGCTGGCGTCTATGTAGATCAAAACTCTGGGTTCGCAATAGACAAAATTGCGGCTTGCTATTTAAAAACATCATATCCCGTTATTTATTATTGATGAATTTTTACTTTGTTAATACCCTCATTCGTGTGATGTCAGGTTGCGGTTTATTTGATCTGTATTTTTGGGTGCAGCAAAGGAAATTTCGTTAGCCGTAACGAAGTTAATGGACTGAAGTCCAAAAGAAGCTGCTCACTAGTTTAACGTTACATGCATTTCACTTCGTTAGATAATGACGATGTTCTTCATATGTTGGTATTTATATTTTTTTTATCGATGATTGGTTATGTATGCATCTACAGTCATTGTAAACAGGCATCTTCACAGCATTTTTACTGGTCTATTATTTTTTATTCTTTTTCTTTTCGTGAAGTATGACATATTTCTTTTAAGTGCAAAGAAATTAATAAATTCCAAAATCTCCTAGAAGCTTCTTTTATACTTCAAAACGGCAAGAACTCATGCATGTGTAGTTTTGACATGTGGCTTTATCTTCAATTAAAGATTATAAACAACTATGAACTTGTGCAACAAGTTTCTTGCATTCCAAGGAAAAGCATGAAGATAAGCAACTTTCAAGTTATTTTTAAAAAAAAGTTAGAAATATATTTCTTGTATTTTTGCTTATCTTATGAGCTTTCTTTAAATATGTCACGGACACAAAATACAGACTTGAAATCTAACAAGAAATTCAAGAAGAAGTGGCAGAACTAGATTAAACAGATGAGTACAAGAACAACACCGGAAAGGTGAGCTAGAACTCCAAGAGATGTGTTGTCGAGACTGAAGAACTCTTCAGCCTCGATCCCTATATATACTCCTACTTAGGAAGCTTCTCGAGCTACTTCTATTAACTAGGAAGCTTCTAAAAGGTTCTAGAGGCTTCCTTTCTAGAAGGTTCTAGAAACTTCTCGAGCTACTTCTATTAACTAGGAAGCTTCTAGAAAGTTCCAGGGGATTCCTTTCTAGAAGCTTCTAGAAACTTTTCTTCTAGAAGGTTCCAGAGACTTCCCTTCTAGAAGCTTCTAGAAACTTCTCTCTAAAAAGTTCTAAGGAATATGTCCCTAACATCACCCCCTCCTTTAGCTTCGAGGTCTCTGAGAAACAATGTTGTTGATCAGTATCAACGCAAGAAAATGAAGATCTGTCGCATAACTTCTGCTATGAACTCCAACTGTTGTTCACGAGGCAAGTGGTTCATCGACCCTTGAAGCCAACGGTAGTGGCCCACGCCTTCGACTTCTGACCAAGCATGAACTTCCGTGTCGTCATTGTGAAATTGTCTTACAAACACGCCTTCTGGCTCACCATTGTAAGCAGGCTCGATCTCAAATACGATCACCAGTGATCGGTTACTCGGTATCCTCCGTCGTCGTCGTGGTACATGTAGTTCTTCATCTCGGGGTCGCCTTCGTGAGCTACTTGGTTGCGATACTCTGACTGGAATAGTATCTATCTCTTGGCTATCCATATCAAAAGACCAAACTATGATCTATCTTGGAGAAAATAACTACATCAACTATGAATTTTGCTGGTGCTCTCCCCTTTTCTTATATTGTTGGGAGAACAAGCTTCAGAAAGAAGCTATCATCGAATTGATTTAGGTTTATTGAGATGTCGTTGATGAAACTCCTGTACCTTTTGTGGCGCATTCGTAAGATTTTCAACTGGCTCCCACGTTCGCTCATTAATGTCATAGCCGCACCAATGAACAAGATATTCTAATTTTCTCCACCTTCGTCTTGAATCCAATACCTTTTCAACCTCGTATTCTTCGTGGTTCTCGATTTCAATACTAGGTGGCGGACATTGCACTCTTCCAGAAAAAAGATGACTCTCGATAAGGTTCCAACAGAGAAACATGAAAGACTGAATGTACCTTCATAGAAGCCGGTAACTCCAGCTGGTATGCCACTAGATTAATTTGCTTCTGGATGATAAATGGTCCCAATCTTCGATAGTCCAACTTATCACATGGTCGCTTGGTCTTGATATTTCGTCGAAGAAGCCAGGCTTTGTCTCCAACTTTGAAAGTAGGTGCTGGATTCCGAAATCTATCTGCAGACATCTTATAGGATTCTTGAGCGGATTGTAATTAAAGCTTCAACATAGTTTGAAGCTCTGATAGTTGCTTCGCAAATCCTTCAGCTGCTGGATTGTTATTTGTTGACGGACTCAATAAATCAAGCTTCGGATGATACCCATAGTTGGAAAAGAATGGTGTTTGTTGAGTCGACGCATGGAGGGTGTTGTTATATGCAAACTTGGCTAGTGGTAGATATGCAGTCCAATCGTCTTGCTGATAGTTGATGCTGCATCGTAAGTACTGCTCCAAGACTTGGTTCACCCGTTCCGTTTGGCCATCAGTTTGAGGATGAAAAGTTGAAGAAAGCTTGATATCCACCTTCAATATTCCAAAGAGAGATCTCCAAAACTTTGACACGAACTGAGTACCTCGATCTGATATGATATCATCTGGTAGTCCATGATATCGATACACATTATTGAGAAAGAGTCTTGCTGTGACTTCACTGGACGATGTCTTCTTACAAGGAACAAAGTGTGCCATCTTTGTAAGCCGATCTACCACGACAAAGATGCTGTCAAATGAGTTTGATGATGGCAAGTCCGTGATGAAGTCCATAGAAATTGAAGACCATGGTCGACGTGGAATTGGCAATGGCTGTAGAAGTCCATAAGGGCGATGCCGAGGATTCTTAGATCTTGAACAAATGTCACAAGAGAGGACAAAATCTTTCACATCCTTCCACATTTGGGGCCACCAAAAATCTCGGGAAATAAGCTCCAAGGTCTTGTTGAATCCAAAATATCCCGCAGCTGGAAAATCATGGCGAGATTGAAGAACTCGGAGTCGTGCTGGTCCTTTTGGAATGTACAATCGCTCTTCAAAGTATAAAAGATCTCCCTCCACCTTGAACTTGTCGTCATTGGTACGTTGCTTGATATCAATGGCTACTGAATCTTTAATGGTCATAGCATGTACTTGGTTTAGGAAGTTAGCATCAAATGATACAATAGTAGCACAAAGTTGAAATCTCTCTGGCTTCAATAACGTTGTACATTGTTGATCAAACGCTGCTTCTCCAGCCTTTGGTGCAAGATACGATCTCCTTGATAAAGCATCGGATAGTCCTTGCTGCCTTCCAGATCGATAAGTGATAACAAAATCGAATCTAGATAGTGACATATTCCACCGAGCTTGACGTCGATTTAAAACTCGAGCCATCATGAAATACTCCAAATTCTTGTGATCTGTATATACGGTTACTAGATGTGTAGCTCCTTCAAGAAAGTGACGCCATTCTTCGAAAGAATCCACTATAGCAAGAAGTTCCTTATCGTGGATCTCATAATTGATTTCAGCAGCAGAGAACTTCCAAGAATAGAATGCAACTGGATGGAGCTTCTTATCTTCACTCATTTGTGAAAGCACAGCTCCCAAAGCAAAATCTGAAGCATCAGTTTCTAAATAGAAGGCCTTTGTAAAGTTTGGATGTACCAAAATTGGAGCTGTAGTAAATGCTGCCTTCAAAACTTGAAACGCCTTCTCCGCCAAAGGTCCCCATTCCAACTTATCCTCGCATGTTAATCGAGTGAGAGGAGCAGCAACTTGAGAATAATTCTTGATGAAGATCTGATAGAAGTTAGCAAAACCAAGAAAGCATTGTACGTCTTTAACCGTCTTCGGAACCTCCCAAGTCATGATTGCTTCTACTTTCTTGGGGTCCATCTTCAAACCTTCTGTAGTCGCAATGAACCCCAAAAATTCCATCTCCGTTTGGTGAAATAAACACTTTTCTAATTTGGCATATAGTCCTCGCTTGCATAGTTTCTCCAAGACCAAACGAACATGCTCCTCTTGCTCTTCCTCATTTTTAGAGAATATTAGAATATCGTCCAAGTAGATGACAACAAAATCGTCGAGGTGTTCTCGAAAGATGTCATTCATCATATGTTGGAAAATCGCTGGAGTATTGGTAAGACCAAAAGGCATGACATTATATTCGAAATGACCATACCTTGTACGGAATGTTGTCTTCCACTCATCTCCTTCCTTGAT